TGGCTGTAACAGACCACACCTATATTTCAGTTGAAAGAAATTTCATTAATTTTATTAAATAGGCAGAAGACAGTAGAAAGAGAGACAGCAGAACAAAGAGAACTTGAAAGAACAGTTGATTCATTCACATGAACAAATTTAAAAGTAATAAATAGAAACATACTAATAAATTTTCCTTATATTAAAAATTCCAGGTGTTTTTTTAAAAAGTTAACATTAAACTCCCACAATTTTTTATTTAGATCGAATTACTGAATCCTGTATTGCTAAGATACTAATCAGAAAGTTTAGTGGTTTCTATTGCTCTGCAAATTTTCACATTTTCACACCTTTACTGGAAAATCATAATGATATGTGGAATGATTTCCAAATGTGTTGTCATTTACAGCTTCCAAAGGATTTTGACATTGAAAGTTGCCTAACGAAATATCCTGTGAGATATGAAGAAAGTATGAACACTGTGCTGGTGCAAGAAATGGAAAGATTTAACCAGTAAGAATGTTCTGTTTTATGAAATTTACCAGAAATCATTCCATTTGCAGAAAAGTATTTCTTGCAAATCATATTCTGTAAGCCCTGTGGTGTGTGAAATATTTTTTTTTTGTTCTAATTGCCTGCAGTGATACCTGCAGTCCAAACACCCTTGCTCCTTGTGGAGAGTCAGAGTGTAGGATAGATGTCAGGAAAAATAATAGGCAAGATGTCAGGCAAAATTAACTGAAAGAGAAAAGAAGGGAGTATGAGGAAGTACTGAGAAAAGAGAATTCAAACAATATATAGATATATTTTTTTAACTTCACTTTCTCTTTCACCATCATTACCTTAATTTTATATTGTTTTCCTCGTATTTCTGAGCTGTACCGTAAAGGAATTAGAAACTCTGGATGCACAGTTACAGTTTATGAAATGTTTTCTGTAATGGAGATATTTTGTTTCTTAATTTTCTCATGTGCTTCTGTTTGAATTTTTCCCCCTTTTTCCAATGCTTTTTTCCCCTATGCCTAATTTTCACAGTAATTCTTCTAAGACTACAAGCCTGAAATTGAATTTATTTTTCTCCTTGGGTCCTCAATCTCTTTTTTTGACATTGTTTCCTAATTTTCTTTCTTATCTTCACCTGCCTGTCCATTCCTTCTTTCTGGTTTTTCTCTGTCTTCCTTCTTTTCTATTTTTCTCTTCATGTCTCCTGCTTAATATTCTCCCAAATGCTCTCTGGCCTTAGTCTCCAAGTTATTACACACCCTTTTCTTTGGTTCTTTGGCAATCTAAACCTTTTTCCTTCATATATAATATAGTGGATACATTTGGAGTTTCAAATTTATCCTCTTACAAAAAAATTCAGGATATCAGAGATAACAAAAGAATTTATTAGTGTTCCTAGTCTTAAATAGATCTGCACTAATGCACAAATCCATGACTTTACAGACGTGGCTTATTGTGCAGATATCTATATAGATATACAGATAAAAAAGCTATAAAAGTTCTATAGATGCCTCCATAACCCACTTATTTTACTTTTTTTCCAGTGACATAGTAATGTTTAACAAATCATACAGAATGTGTGAAAATTGTTTGTTTTTTAATTCTAGTTTAATCCGAACTATTCGCATTACCCTCATTAACCTGAAGAAAGCCATTAAAGGACTGGTTGTTATGGATGCTGACCTGGAGGCTCTGTCTGGCAGTCTCCTTATTGGAAAAGTTCCTGAGAAGTGGGCACAGCATTCATACCCAAGTCTAAAACCATTAGGGAGCTACATTGTTGATTTGCTAGCAAGGCTGAAGTTTTTACAGGTAATGTACAAGTGGCATTGCTGCCAATTGTTCAATCTACTTTTCCATATAATTTGCCTTTATTGGGAAAGGAGTGATAGGCTTTGTTTAGATTTTCTGAGTACAATTATGTAGAAAATAGTCAAAGAGTATAGGATTCCTCTCTTTGTGGTTGTTCAATGTATTGCTTTCCTCTCTCCAGGACTGGTATGAATTAGGGAAGCCTGCTGTGTTTTGGCTATCAGGATTCTATTTTACTCAAGCTTTCCTAACTGGAGCCATGCAAAACTATGCCAGGAAGCACAGGATCCCTATTGACCTTCTAGGATATGAATTTGAGGTATGGATAAACTAGAAATTAATATTCTATTATTCTGAGTCCTGGTGTTGTGGTGAGATGTAGTAAATAAATCCTAACTGGAAGGTTCATTTTGCAACTGACTGGCAGGCTAAATAACCTCTGTAGAAAAGGTATTCTCAAAGTGATTAAAAGCAATTCTATCACTGGACCTAGAACTCCACTCAAGAAAACAGCCTGTCCAGTGTATATTTTTCTGTGTGATTAAAGCCTCATTTTGTAACCTATTAGAAAGTAATTAACAAACCCAGAGAAGTCTGCTGTCTCTACAGATATATATAACAGTAGCATTGAAAAGGAGGGGTTACTATATTATTTTCAGTTTGGTTTGATCTGAAAACTGGCATAATAGCTCAAAAAGCAAAGAGCTGTGAGAGTTTAATGACTTGGAACACTTATTTCCTGCAGGTTATTCCTCAGGATACTGCTGATACTGCACCAGAGGACGGTGTTTACATCCATGGATTATTTTTAGATGGAGCTCGCTGGGACAGGACCAAGTCAGTAGCCAAATGTTTTACTCTGGTTCTGGAAAGCTTTTTTCAGTGCTCAAGCAAGACTGGTTTAAATAATTTAAGTGATACCTTTCATATTATTGATATAATACACCAAATTAAGTACTATTTCATGCATGGAAAATGGGGAAGAAAAACCAACTAAGCAAGTAACAACCAAAAAACACCCCCAAACCCCTCAAGCCACAAACAATTACTTTATTGCTGTCTTTCTCCAGGGGAATGCTAACTGAGCAGTATCCCAAGGTGCTCTTTGATGCCATGCCAATCATTTGGATAAAGCCAAGTGAGTATGATTTCTCTGATTTGTGAGCTATTCAATGAGAAATTGCAACAGTGGTTTCCTTTTTTACTGAAGTTCACTGAGGAGAACTTTTCACAGATTTACAGAAACTGAGTGTTTTACCTCATATGATTTAGCAGGGTTTGCTTAGGTTATTTTTAGCTCTGTGATAGCTGTCTTTCCTATTAGTTATGTAATTTTCACAACTCTTGTTTTCTTTGATGGAGAGGAATAAATCCCTGTTTTTATTTATGCCCAAAATCAGGACTTACTACTGCAACTTCTGCAACTTAAGTGTTAGCAAATAGGCAGTATTAAAATTTACCACTTTCTCTGCTTGTGCTTTCTCTTGACATTGGATGAATTAATTCAGACCTGCACGATTTTATGCTTTGCACAAGTTACATGCAAGCAGTCTGGGCATACAAAGAGTTCCTGCAGAGTTCTGTCCTTGGGTCTCAGATGATTTGAATTGCAGTTAGGCTCTCTGGCAACTAGACCAGAATTCTTGTAGAGCTGTGAAAAACTCATGTATAAGCTATGTATTAACTAGGTAACTATTCAGATTTTAATGTGTCTTTGAGTATTACAAAGCTGATAGAATCACAGGAAGGCATCAAATCCTGAAAAGAAATTTTAGCTAAATTAGTTGGGTTTAAGAGCAAAACAAACCAGTCAAGAAAACACAACAAGAAAAAGCCAGATAATTTTATTCTGTTGCTCACAAAACAACTTTGCATTTTTACTGACCTTTAAAGATGTTACTGTAAATACTTAACATTTGCATGTAGATTATGCTCCTACCAATAGATCTGCTGAATGTAATGCATTATTTTGGGGTTTTTTTGAAGATGTGAAGTCAGACATAAAGAAGTCCAATGCCTATGTTTGCCCACTGTACAAGACGAGCGAGCGCAAAGGGATCCTGTCCACCACGGGGCACTCCACAAACTTCGTCATCGCGCTGAGGCTCAACACGGACCAGCCAGTCCAGCACTGGATCAAGAGAGGCGTGGCCCTGCTGTGCCAGCTGGATGACTGATGGGACAGTCACAGTCAGCCTTCACAACACCCTCTGCTCTCTGCTGCTTACAGAGCAAGTGGAACTTAGTGTGGAAAAGAACCATCTGGAGGTTTTTGTATTGTGAGAGGGCATGCAAATGCTTTCTGACCCTCAAGCTTTTGTATTAAGTATGTATTATTATTGTTATGATGATGACCGTCTTTGCAATCTGCAAGCAATACAACTAGGATTTTAGCCCTTGGTGATGTTATTAAAAGGTGAACATCTTTTTTGTGCATTAGTTGAATATCACAAAATCTATTTTCATGTGAAATGAAAGTAGTCTGCGCTTTCTGAGAGAAATATTTTAGGTAATAAACTTGATTCTGCACTTTTGTTTTCTTTAAAAATAATTTAAAAAGCATTATTCAGGCATTCTTTCTATGTCTCATCTAGCAAAGAATTGTTTCCACCTTGCATTCAGATACAGCCATCGTCTGTTCTGCGTATGGATCCCTCCAAAAAATACAGTAGGAATAACTGAGCACATAAAGGTCTTACTCCATTCTACCATCACTATTACAACTGGGCATCTGTGTCCCTGCTTAATGGGTGTTGAACCAGTGTAAGTCTGTCTTTGTGAAACTGCTTTTCCCTTTAAAAATTCTATTTTTCAATTGCTTTTTTATTTATATTAATGTGAACTATGGTTAAGCAGTCAGGAACGTGTAATATTTTTTTAAATTTATTTTTTTAGTTAAGAAAAAAAAGAGGTTTTGCTTGATTAATTGCTTGGTTTTGTTTACTTTTGTTGTTTCAAGGTTTTTTTGGGTTTTTTTCTGCTGTCTCACTCTTAAGCAAGCTCCTAAGGCCCCCTTTAGTTTGCTCTCCTAGAACAGCACTAAAGAATTTTATTTTTACAGTGTAACACTGACTGCTATAGGTCTGAAATTCCAAAACTCAAAAGTATTTTTACAAGGAAACTGGACTTTTAATTCCTTCTTTTGTTGGCACCTCTTATCAGGTCAGATTATTAAGCATAACTGACGTGTGTGAAAGAAACGTGGAGAAAGTCCCAGAGTATCTTATGATCGGGTATTTATAGTGAGCTATTCATGGACATGGGCTCTGCAGAGATTATTTACAATCCTGAAAATGTCACTTTCAACTTAATAATCACTTCTTCAAAGGCAGAGATTTTCCCTCTTTCAGAAGGTGAGAAAACAGTATATTTTCTCAATTCATAAGAAAATTAGTAGTATGTTTAGGAAAAAAGTAGTTTATGTACTCATTGAGCCATAGTAAAATCAATTACTAACAGTTTCTTGCTGTATATGTTGCTAATATATTTTTCTTTTTTGCTATATGTGCAATTACAGAGCAAGGCATTACAATCACACATTAGGTGGACCAGGGAACAAATTAAATTATGCAGATTTGCTATTAATTGCTGCTGTCCAACTTTAAGATGTTTCTAGAATTATTCCAAGCTTTGTAGTTGGCATGTTGACAACTTCCTTAAATTTCCTGTGCTCATTCATTTTGCCAAGTTATTTATTAGCTTTCAATTTTATTTATTTATTTTATTTTACCTTGCCCTGTAGTTTTGTTTTGTTTTGTTTTTTCAGGCCAGCTCTCTTGAAAGACAGAAGTGGAAGTTTTGATAAGGTAAAACAGAAGAGAGGTTTGAGCCTAACAGAACAGCTGAGATCTTGAATCTGCCAAGAACAGCATGACTGCTTAATCATATAACAGTGTAGTCATTTATTTTAAACTGTGTTTCATTTCTCTTGATACTGACGCAGTGTTTGCTGTTCCTATTACTCCAGATCTAACCTGAAGATTTAACATCTGCTTCTAGTTAAAAAAATAGTATTTCCCTACAGAAGTGATTCATGTGGTGCTGATTTGCCATGAATAATTCTGTGTATATGGTTGATGGTGATTCTGATGAGGAAATCTCTACCCAGCGAGCTATTCAGGAAAGCTTACAAGATAGGCATAAATTTGAAACAAGTGGCAGTGCAACAGAAATTGAAAGGTAATAAGTTATTATTTCTATTTTGGGTTTTTTCCTGGCATTACTGTAAACATTTTGTAGACCTTATTTTTGTTTTTTAACTCCCTAAGTTTTATTGTGCTGACCTTGTCCCATGGATACTGGAAAGCACTGGTAGCTCACTTGTTCTGAGTTCTCCCTGAAAAAGTTTCTTGGAAAATATGAAACATATGAAACTTTCAGGTAATGTTTCACATCAATATGTTAATGAGTATAAGGCTTTGTGAAGAAGATAAGTAGGTGGTGTCGAAGTAGATTGGTATGGGAGCTTCCCCTCTTTATACATTTAATTGTTGGCCTTTGTGTGAAAAAATCAGTATTTACAGTGTCAGGGAAAGACCAACAAAAATAGTGTTTCAATGTGTTAAACCCTCACAAAACTAATGTAACTTAGAAAAACCTAACATATTGTCTAAATTAGAGTATTTGAAGTAAGGTATAATCATATCCTTAGCTTCACATGAATTTTTACTTCTCATTTTATTCTTGTTCTGTTTGTGCAGTTTCCAGTATACTGCAAGTAAAGAACATGGACAGATCATTGCAGCAATTCGGACAGTTAAGTACAAATACACCACCCGAAGCCTGCACCCCTGGGAATGGCTGAGCAATGCCTACACTTTGGGGGTTTGATCACCTGATTTAAGTGCAGCTTTCCTTTATATAGTCTTGGGAGAAGTAAGGAAACTAAAAACAAGACATCCAAAAGCTAGCTTATTAGATAGTGGCATTTTATTAGACAGGATGATGGAAGTGGGATGGGCTCAGGTATCACCCCTTTCAAAAATTCCAGTGCTTCATCTCCTAAAATTAGAGGAAAACTCCAGGCCTTTCTTTCATAATGAGCAAGATACACTGGTGGGACAAATGGCACTCAGTGTATTAGTTGCCTGAATTTTGTCTTATGATGTGTAATGGGATATGTGTCTATGCTGAAATATGACAGGCCAAGAGGAGGCCTTGAAGAAGTTGGTGAGGCACAGTTCTGCTTTTGAAGAAGCAGATCAGCAAGGCTGGCTTCCTGTGCATGAAGCTGCAGCACAGCTAAATAAGAACATCCTTGAAATAACTTTAAAAGGTACAAAGTCCTTCTAGTTTTCCACCAAAAAGTTTTACAAAGTAAAGTTTGATGAATCATCCAACTTCAAATGTGTTCTGCTTTTCTGTATTTCAGCCTCCCGTGACATTACGTGGGAACAGTCCACTCTAAAAGGAGAAACACCTCTCTTGGTGGCAGTAAGAAATTGTTTTGTGGACAATGTCCACTTTCTCCTGCTCAATGGCTGCAATCCCAATGTTAAAAATGAAGAGGGAGATTCTCCTTTAGTTATAGGTGAATACTGTTTTTAGGGGTGGAGAGGTGAGGGAATGAGGTGAGGATACAGTTATACATTTTAGGTTTTAAGGTGACGTATTTGACTTCAATGCCTAAAATATTTTGCTATAAGGAGAAAAAAAATGTTAATCTCAGCATTGAGAGGGCTTTTTTACTTTTGAATAGGTCTGTCCCTGTCTGTTTTTCTCAGATGACAAATAGCTTTCTCCATGAAGTGTGGAGTGCCATCCTCTACTTTCCTTGGCATCATTTCTGCAATGGTTCCACTTCTGCTTCTTCATGCTGTTAGTGCCTTTCTTGCAGGCATAGAACATTCATATTCTCTGCCCATATGGTATCTCCTTTGTTGCATCAGCCTTTTTTTTCTCAAAAAACCCATTCTAATTGGTTTTAATTATCCAAAATTATAGCAAACCATACTGATTTATTTGCCGTATGTAGGGTGCAAAGCAGTGTTTGTCCCTATTTAGACACTGCCAGCATTAGTCCAAGGATGACCAGTGAAGAAGACAGGCTGACATTCTCAGTTCACTTCTCTTTAATATTTTGTAATTTAGGAATAAGGTCCATAGCTACTATAGTCCTAGTATAGTCTCATACCCACATTCTTTGTGTGAATACCACTTTAATTTGATCATGCGCAAGGATTGTAATTCATGATTTCTAAAGAACTATATTTAGCCAAAATGTTTTTCCAAAGAATTCTGTGTTTATTTCCTTTGCTTCCCTCAGTCTGGGCTATGATGCCTTCATTCTCACTGAATCCTACCCAAAAAAAAGCAAAGTGTCTTCTCATTACCTAATTCTAAAGGAGCACTCTTAAGTTTCTTAAGTTTCTTTCCATACATTTTTCTGTATTGGAGAGGTGGTTTCTTTTTCAAAACTATTGTTATAGGAAGAGAAAAAGGCCTACCAATCATGTGTAGGACCCTCAGCCCATCCTTGTAAAATGGCTGCAGGTTCAAGTACAGGACCATCTGCTTAAAAAAATGTACAGAACTCCTAGATACTTTTGAAGTGCACGGCATTAAAATGCACCATCCCCCAAGAAGGGGATGCATGGGATTTGTCTAAAGCAGCCATGTAGGTTACAGATAATAGGACATCACAGTTTCTGTCACAGAATGCTGTCACTGGTGTTCAAGCAGTTGTGGCACATGAGGCTGCTCAGCTTAATCTGTCCTGCTGAAGGACACTCGCTATCCTGCGCAGCCTGGAAGATCAAGGAGAGAAGGAGGGAAGGGTATTGCCTAATCATTCCATCCACTGGAGCTAATGCAAATTTCTCTTTTAAGATCCTCCCTGACTTCAGAGTTCAGGCTTATTAAGCTAAGAAGGCATATGAAAGAGTCATTATAAGCTTTGTTTCATATTGTGATAACTGCTCATGGAGATCAGACAAAATTCTGGTGGCAGCTTCTGAGTACCAGGGCCCTGGGTATGGTCTCCATCTAGTGGCAAGGAAAGCTGTGTTCTGTTCCATTATCAAATGCAACAGAGAGAAAAAAATCTACAGGAAGAGAGATTACCACGAAAGGATTCATTTGCATACTTAGTGCTGTCCTGGAAGCAAAGAACAAGCTTGTTGATGAGTTAAACTTTTCAGTGTAGGGTGGCATTTCTCATTGCATTAGTAGCACTGCCAGGAACAGTGAGCAGCCACAGTGCACAGAATAGCACTGAATAGCACAGAATAGCACCTGATGCTTTGTCTGATGCTTTGTTTGCTGTCCTACAGCAATTAAACTTGATTCCTATGACATTGCCTCCTTGCTGCTGCGATCTGGGGCCAGAGTGAATTTGCGCTGCGTCCATGAGAGAACTGCTCTGCATGAGGCAGCCAGACTGGGCAGGAAGGATCTGGTTCAGCTGCTCCTGGAGTCTGGGGCAGATCCTGACCCCCGCAGTGGATATGGGCTCACACCTCTAGCACTGGCTGCACAGATGGGACATACAGAAATTATGGCGCTCTTACTGCAAAAAGGTAAGGCTTTATTATACAGGACCTTATAGGAAGAGAAAGCTTCAGATATGCCTTCATAAACAGAAGCAGAAGTAGCTCACCTTACTAGAGAAAATTAAATGTCATCTGCACTGAGGGTTGTTGTGATGTAGTGAAGGCCTGATAAATACCAATTTGTATAATATTAAAATAATATATTAATATTTTAGTGAGTACTTATAATTGTTTTTTAAATGCTCTATTATTTTCTCACATAGACAAATCACCTAAGATTTCACAAGATAATCACTTGACAAGATATTTATTGTGGGGAATTTTACATGATGGCTCAGCAGCATTGGAACTGGATTGCATGAACTCTTGGATGCTGGGTGCTCTCATGTTTACAGTTACACCTGTCTGTCTGTTCTTTGTAAAGTAAAAAATTGAAATGCATTGTTTGTAAAAAAGCAATTGTTTTGATGAATAAGAACCAAATATTTTCCTGGTGCAGTTCTAGGAACAATTCTTACTGTGCTCAAAGCAATTTGGACCTTCTTGTTCTAAGGATTACATGAACACATCTAAAATCAAGGATCCATTATGAAGATTTATGCCCACAGTGGTTCTGTTTGGTGGAGAATAGAATTCAAAATACCATATCACTGGGGGGTTGGAGATATTAATTGCAGATGAATATTAACAGTGACTGCTGTGAAAATCCTTGCTGCTTCTCCCCAGGTGCAGATGTTCTTTCACAGGCAATGGACTGTGCTTCTATATTGTTTGAAGCAGCAGGAGGAGGAAATCCAGACTCTGTGAGTCTTTTACTAGAATATGGGGCTGATGCCAATGTACCAAAGCACTCGGGTCATTTGCCAATCCACAGAGCTGCATATAGAGGACACTTTCTGTGAGTTAATGTACTTAAAATCAAATAATAGTGACACCAGAAATATTAATTTTACTAATTTTACCTTATTCAAAGCAGACAGAAAATCTGTAGCTTTGTACGAGGAATTATTTTTGACTGTGTAAATAAGTCTGTTCTGTGTCTGAATGTAAGAGACCAGTTAGGATAAAATCTTAATGATTTTAGGATGCACATCTTAATCCCTCTGGTATTTCCCCATTTGTCACAAGTAGTAACACTGTCCAGTCTGATGCTGAGGTTCTTGAAACATTGTCACTCTCTTTGGGTCAATGTCTCATCTCCACCCCATCAGAGAAATGTGAATGGTGAATATACTAAATAAACAAATAGATAGTAAGGCTAATCCCTATTTTAAAGAGAGTAAGACTACTACTATTTATGCTGAAATCACAACTAACAAATGAGAAACAAGCACCTGAGTATTCTTAATTTCTGTATTAATATTTTCTGTATATTATTATATATTATTATATTGTTATATTTAAACTTAGATGTATATATTACATTATAGATGATATGTATTCATGCTACAATACGTATTCTATTAATTCCCTAATCCCCATAGGTTAAGCAATAACACTGTTGCTTTCAACATTCTGGAAAAATTTCTATTGAAAAGGAATCTTTAATTCCTATAGCAAGGAATGGGTTGTTCATGAACAGTAGTATAATAAAATAATATTTTATGTGTAGTAGATGTAAAGTCAGTATCCATTGCTGGCTAACAATTTCATTGTTAGCAATTCAAGTCAATGCATGCCATGGTACTGATTTGGTATATTAAGACTATTCTAACAGTCATGATGAATCCTGAAGCCCAACAACACAGAGAAATTCAAAGATGAGATAGGTGAAACAAAATGTTTAAGATTCTGAGATGCTTCTGGTTTAATGGTTTTAATTTTTCAGAGCTCTGAAATATTTAGTTCCAGTGACTGATTTTTCTGCCATTAAAGAAAGTGGGATAAGCCCAGTTCACTCAGCAGCAGCAGGAGCACATCCTCAGTGCCTTGAGTTTCTCCTGCAGTCGGGTTTTGATGCCAATTTTATGCTGGCTCAGAGAGTTCGCAAAGGCTACGACGACCACCGGAAATCAGCCCTGTACTTCGCTGTTTCCAACGGGGATATCTGCTCAACGCAGCTGCTGCTCAACGCCGGAGCGCTGACAAACCAAGATCCCATCAACTGCCTCCAAATAGCCTTGAGAATGGGCAACTACGAGTTAATGAACCTGCTGCTCCGCCACGGGGCCAACGTCAACTACTTCTGCCGCGTGAACACCACGCATTTCCCCTCAGCTCTGCAGTACGCCCTCAAGGATGAGGTGATGCTGAGGATGCTGCTGAACTACGGCTACGATGTGCACCGCTGCTTCGACTGCCCGCGGGGCAGCGGCGACCACTCCCAGTACGTGACGGACGGCTGGACCTCCACCGTCATCAAAGACACCATGGTAAGTGCTGTCCTACCGCCAGTGGCCTTCCTAAAACTAAATGGAAAGGGCCTTAATGCACTGTCAGAAAAAGACAAGACAGTGTACACATAAAGACAGGAATAGTTTAAAATTAACCAGATGTTGATATGAAGCCTAGTTCATGACCGTAAATGTCGTAAACAGTAATTTTGAATTATGAAAATATAGCTGATGCTATGCTAATGATCAGTAAGGAACTGGCTCTCCAGCGCAGTGTTGTCCGTGTTGTGAAAGCAGAGATTTGCAGGCTGGCTCTCTGCATTGTCCTGTACCAGAACACCAAGACTGGAAGTGTGTTGAAAGGACCCCTGGAGGTGGTGGGATGAGGGCTGAGCAGAAATTAGCAAACCTAAAGAGCTTCCTGGAGACACTCATCAGTGTCATTGTTTCACAGTTTGTAAAGTCCATTTGAACCTAATAAACCCTTCTTTAACCGAAAGATAAGGGGATAATGCATGCACTGGGCTGGTGGACCCTCCTATTAAGCACCTGGGACACAAGTCTAAATTCCACTTAAGAGTGATAGCACTTCTTTTTAAGCATCAAGTCCCCAAATATACTGCCGCTTAAGTTTATTTTTGGATCCAGTACAAAATAACCATCTCTCAGATTTTTAGATTCTACTAGTCAGGCTTAGGCAAGCTGTGGCAACCTCTAAAACCCTGCTCAAGTAACTGTTCTTTTCCTCAGAGACAGAAGTAATTTACTGCAGTATCAAATATTACCCTACTAACTGTTTCATTCCTGTCAGTTCTGTGAAGTGATAACCTTGTCCTGGCTGAAGCATGTGTCTGGGAAAGTAGTGCGAGTCATGTTAGATTACGTTGATCATGTTAAGATTTGCTGGAAGCTCGAAGCAGTTCTCAAAGAACAGGAACTCTGGCCAGACATCCATTTCATTTTAAGTAAGTATCTGTTTATGTTTTTAATGAAAACAAGCTGGTTTGGCACCGGGGCCTTTTTGCTTGGTAGCATTTAAATTTTGCTTCTCCTTTCTAGCAAATCCTCGCTCTCTGAAGCACCTTTGCCGCCTGAAGATCCGGGCGTGCATGGGCCGGCTGCGTCTCCGCTGTCCTGTCTTCATGACCTTCCTTCCACTGCCAAACTGCTTGAAAGATTACATCCTGTACAAGGAATATGATCTTTATGGACAGGAAAACTACACAGGGATCTACAACCTCAACTGTGCATAAGTATTTGTCCTGTACTTTGAAGGGAATTTAATGTGGATAAGACTGTTGTGCTTTTTTCTTTTTGGATTTCCTCTCCTCTGTATATTAAGGAATGCCAGCGCTCTCCCCTCACCCCCTGAAGAAAATGGAGAGACCCCCCCCCAAAATGTAAGTATTGGTGATCCCATTCTAAAGATCTCCTGGACTATGACAAGTTATTGGACTATCTGCAAGTTATGGCAACAGTATTTTAATGCCTGGTGTGACAAGTTAAGGAAGTGTACAATACAGTGTTGCAAGCCTTGTGTTGTGGCTAAATTAAAGCTTGTCATACCAGATACCACTACCATCATTCCAGGATTAAACTCAGGGTTTAGTTAAAGGGTCAAGGATTTGACTCCAGGAAGGGACACAGTTTTTTCTCTTGTACTTCTTCCTTTCTCTTGACAAGAAATAGTTTTTATTTGTGAAGTCCTACAGTGAAGTTCTGAAAAGCAGCTTCAGTAATTCTTTTCTTCACCCAATAAAGCAACCCCCCATTCTAGTCAATCAAATTAGATTAAGCTTGAGAAACCTCTGCTTATCACTGCAGGTCTTGTGAGATACCAATGTTTCATCAAGGTGGCACTGCTGAAAGCTGTGTTTGTTCTGCAGCTCCTTCTCAGGTACTGATGTCCCATCCGCCATGAACTTGGACTATTCTCTCTAGAACTGGGTTCTCCTTACCCAGTGCTGTCTGAAGTCATGCTTGCAATTTTTGGAGTTTCTCTCTATAGAGGTGGAGCTTAAACTTTTGGAGCCCTGTCATTTTAGGAAGTCTTAGAGAAGTCTTAGAAAGACCTAGAGCATGCCTGTTCCTTCTAATAATACTGCAAATATCAGTTCCCAATTTAGAAAAAAAGAAGTTCATCAACACATTTGGCATTAGTAGTATTTATTCCTTCATAATCAAGTAAGCATAGATGGTTTTTTTCTAGTTATACATGCATCTTTATCACAGAAGTTACAGAATTCAAAAGTCTGCTTTTCCCCAGAAAAATCTACAAACCTTATAAAATACAAATTTAACCACAATGCGGTTATGGCCCATGGCTTTTTACATGGTGTTTATCCCATAATAGACTAACTCAGCCTGTGAAGATATGTCCAATGCCCATGGTAATGGTAGTGCTGGTAGAGCCTCTGCACTGGGCTTGTTCCACAGAGCCCTCAGAGCCCTGTCCCTGCCCCACCACGGGCCCTCCCAGCCAGCTGCCACAGCTCCTGCTCACCTTCAGTCTCTGATTGTTGCAAAAATAAGTTAAGACCATTCCCAAGTGTAACAACTTCCTCTGAGGTTATCTGGCTATTACTATAAAAATTAAGAGAACTGAGCTACACTTGACAATGGAGGGCTATACCTGCGTGTCAGAACTGATTTTAATGGAAGGGAACACATCCTGTCACAGTAATGGAACTTCCTGAAAGTCAGTGTGATGAAGAATGCAGGAGGCTTTTGCATCAGAGTACAAGTCTCACCCAGAAAGTTACTACAGTTAAGCTTTTATTTAAAATATAAAATGCTGACTGGAGCCCTGGTACAATAGGGTTACTATCCGTGTTTCCAAGATTAAGACACAACAATCAGAGTTGACATAAATATGCCACTGGTTGTTCTTAATACAGCTATTCAGGGAAAATGTGCAAGTCTGTCTCAAACACTGCAAAAATCACTTACACTTCACCAGAACAGGACCAATCCAGAACACCATCATAAGAATTTGACCACTCCACTCTATTATAAAAATGACCAGAAAGGTTGTACAAAATTCTCAGCTTGCAATATAAACTTCATTAGGAATACAAGTGCATTCACAATGATACACTGACTTATTCTTGTCATCACAACTGAGATACCACTGCGGCAGGGAAAAAAATGCCAACTTAGTGCTTAATTAAAACAAGAAGCCTTGGGGTCCAAGTACCTTGCAAGAATTTTTGTAATACAGAGCAAGAGAAAGAATAGAAATTATCAGCTTTTGCTGTTACATTAGACAATATCTCTACTAAATTCACTAAGCAGTGGCAGTTTTCTTTCGCTAGGTGAACTATTTCCTAAATAATAAGAGACTATATTTTAGCATAGTTTTCACCATTAGCTTGTCCCAAATGCTGTGCAACTAATTAATCAGTATTTACCTTAAGTATAGACAGAATTTGCCTTAAACAGTCAAATTTATTTCTTTATATCCATGTACATCAATTACAGCTTCATAAATAGCATCAGCTGTTTCACAGTTTCCAGCTCTAGGTTTACATCCACATAAAGAGGAAATCTGACAGCCCTTTAGAAGGGGAATGTTTCTTAACTCTGTTTTCAGCTCTAGGTTTACATCCCCATAAAGAGGAAATCTGACAGCCCTTTAGAAGGGGAGTGTTTCTTAACTCTGAAATATTACTGTTAAGACAGTAAATTGTCCTGATACAATTTTAAACTCAAACAGATTAAGGAAGTAAGACTGACATGCAATTGACTTTTCACCACCTGATCATATCCAGTTAGATATGTTTCAGTAGTACATGACTTTGACTTTGTCCTCTGGTTTGGACTTGGCCAAATCTAGCAGTGACCACAGAGGAGTGCCAGCTATCATCTGTAATGCAATAAAATGTATACCCATAAGCACACCTGATATATTTGTATATTCATGCCATTACATACATAAAGAATGTATGTAGCTTGAAACAGCTGACAGCAAGACTGGCTTGGTCTGCAGTGTGTAGATCTACACAGTGTAACAAGCTTCATATCTTACTTGAGGGATAAAAGTAATTATGAGGCTGCAATTAGCAACACAACAAGTTAGTCCTGAACAACACTGCCAATTCAGTACCTACAAGAAGCCACTTCAAAATCATGGACTTGAAAGAATATTTTCAGGAGTGACTGAAGTAAAGTAGATGCACGTGAAGCAAACTACAGCTTCAGCCAAAGGTGCCTGAAAGATCAGTTTGTGAATAAAAGGCAGTACAAAATAATAAACAGGAGAGTTTATTTAATCTCCTGTAAATTAGGAAAGGAAACCATCTAGTAGTTTAGTTACAATAATAAAATATTCTGGTGGTGAAATTCTACCACAGCAGTTCCCAGTAGACCATGAGGTGTTCCTACTAAAAGTTACATACGCTCATGGAAAATACCAAGCATCATTCTGATTTTTTTTCAACAAAACTGTTTTCTAACTAAGTAGTTCTAAACCTGATGGGAAAAAAGGTCACGTGTGAAACCTCAGCAGCTGTTTTTGCCTTGAGATAGTTCTAATTACAACCTGTGTGATCCTTGCTAAGCAAAGCTCAGTCATTCTCACCTTCCTGCTAACTCAGTCACCATTCCTGTCTGACTTCCCCAGCTCTGCTGACATGCCCTTTGCTCTTGCAGCTTTCATCATTACCCCAGATGCTTTCATACTTTCTTGCTCGTTTTACACCAGTGAAACTCTCCTAAATAAGACAAACAACACCTACATTTCATTCATGCATATCAATCTTTTAGTGGTTAAGATGAGAATCATCCAACGTCAGTGAAATGTATTTCACTCCTACTCTGTTTTAGAAAGCTACATTTCATGGCATATATGGAAAGCTTGAAAAGCAAATGGAGTCATTCCAATCTTTATTGATAAATCCAAAAAATCCCATATAACAGTAAATTCACCTGCCAACTTGATTAGCTTTCTTCCTCATCTTTGCAGATTTATAGCTATATGAGTAATGGTAGGTTTTGCAAAAAATACAGTAATCCCATTTTCTGACATTTCTTCAATAAGGCTAATGCAGGCTGCACATCAGAAATGCTTTTTCTTGAGAGTGCTTGTCTATTGTTTGTCCTCCCTCTGGAGCCTGGGCTACTGCAGCTCCAGTGCTTAACACAATTAGTCCTTCTCTTACAAGCTGAGGACTGGATTCTAGACACTAGAGATCACTGATTTCATAGGCTCCCTGTGCTGTTTCCAAACTGCTTCATCCTCAGTACATACTTGAGAAAAATACAAGACACAGTAACCTTGGGCTACCCTGTGATATGATTTGATAGAAAAAAAAATCGGTAAATAAAAAAAAACAAACACAAACAAACATGAACTGGAATAATTTGCAGAGACAAACTGCCTTGCCACTCTCTGTAAGCCTTGATTTAAGCACAAAAAGGGAAAAAATTGAATTTGGTGCCTCTGTAATTTTTGTTGGCAAGAATAAAAATAGTCTCTTAAAAATGGGAGCTGAGAATGAAAGCCTAGATATGAAATAAAAATGCCACTGTCTTTTACAAGAAGCCTCAGGTTGGAGTGGTCCATGTGGCATTGTGCCAGCTAAATCCAGCCACAGGGCAATACTATGTGACCAACTGGGCAGCAGCAAAAGCAGATATTTCTACAAGTGACTGGCTACTCTGGGGATGAAAATCACACTGGAAGAGGATCTGGTAACCAATTCAGGAAGAGAACCTGGAGGCTCTCTGTTCCCCAGCCTCCTCCCCTCCTGTTTCAAGGCAGAGCCCTTTGGTGGCTGCTCAAGCCCCTGTGGTGTAAAACCTCTGCCCAGAGCTTCTGCAGCTCCAGCTGCCTCTGCTCCTGCCCAGCCACTGCTGCCCTTCACTCCTGTCACAGGAGCCGAGGCCACCACCTCCTGCACACAAAGTGACATCTCCATTGGCGCTTTGGCCAATGCAGGCACTCCCACGAGTTAGAAGAGCCCTCTGTGCACCCACAGCCATCCAGCAGACACAACCTGAGATTCCTCACATACTTTATCAGCACTGAACAGCTCCAGCTAGGAAGGGCTGGGCCACCACCAGCTGCTGAGGAGATATTCTGAAAATTGCTTCCATTCCTGAACACCAGAAATGCCCTGCAATGAACTGTAAATCACTCATAACTGTTATATTATAACCTGGAATATAAGTATATTCTCTTCTCTCTACATATCCTGTTATTTTCATGCCACTATTAGAGAGCTATCTTCTGTTCCTCTGGATTTTAATATTTATAGTAATTAGTGCAAAAATAAATATTTCTCTTCAAACAAGATTTCTTTTCTGGTTCAAAAGGTGAATGCACATCTAATACTATACAAAATAAATATTACACAGGGTATGGAATATGGAGTGCAGATTACAAGCTGTAAACAGACACCACTTTGAAAAATGCTTTCCAGAACTGACTCTAGGATGTAGGATTGGTATCATCTCTTACTTCAGAACTAGTAAATTCTGTTTGCAAAATCATAAAAACAATGAAGAGCCTCAACTCATTTCCAGTAGATGTAATGTACTAGCAGCAAGGCATTTACATATGCAGAAGATTTTGATATGATGGAATTCAAGATGTTCCTGCAACTCTAAGCACGTTTTATAAAACTGAACTCAAAGGTTTACAGCTTTGTGTTCCAAGTACTGGGGAAAAACCAAGAACATGGCACTTGTGCTACAAGGCTATATACACGACTCTTATCATTTGATGAGGAATGCTTTTCCTCATGCAACAAAGTTCAACTGCATCTCATCAGCTCTTATCCAGGTCTGACAGTATCTTTTTCTCCTGTTGAAATAAGTTTTTTTGGCATTGTAATCACCAAAAAAAAAAAAAATAAAAAGGAAATCAAGACAGTATCATACTGTGCAAAATGAAACAAAGAAGATCCTTCTGTTTAGAACTATTGCACATCTCACTGATGTTAAAGGGGATCCTTCTTTCTAAGTCTAAGAACAGGTATGTGCAACAAACTGGGTAAAGCTAGCACTGTCTTATTTGGACATCCACTTTTGTTTCCAGCAAGGTGTTCTCCCTACTGCAGTGTAAAGAGCAAATTTCAATGTTTGGGGTTTTTTTGGTTTTTTGAGTTTTCAGTTTTGCTTCCAAAGCAGTCAATTGCACAGAGGTTAAGTGGGGAAAACACCCACATTTTTCCCATACTGCAGAGAAGCCTTGAGAAAACATATGTTTGTAATAAATGGCAGCATCACCGTGCTTCATCTGGCATACAAGAGAAATTTTACTGGCAGGAAATAGAAATCACTTAACTGAGAAAGAAAAATCAAGGCATAATAGGGTCTATATATTGTGAAGTCTTTTCTATAACATGACAGACCCTCCACCTACATTTCACCTCTTGTAGAATTTGTGCCATTTCACCAGATATATTAATGATTCCAATTTTAATGAAGCAGGCAACCTTAGGCTTCAGATTCTCTCTTCTTCTTTCCATCTTCTCCTAAATCACTGTCTTCTGACTGGCTGCTGCTAAGGACTACAAACTGTCCTTCTGTGCTGCTCTGGTTGGATCTGCTGGAAGCTGCTATCAACCGGCTCTGCTCCTCCAAGTCCTAAGTTCAGAAGGGGGGGTTGGGAAATTAGAAAAACAGTATTACCCTTTAAGCCATCTGCAATGGACACAGGATACCATAATTATGATTTCTAAATGATCTATCAATACTATCAGTGGACAGCTTTGGACAAATCTGCAAAAGAAAGTAAGTAGAAAAAACCTAATATTAAGAAATAATGACGAAAGGTACCTTCTCAATTTGCTTTTGTTTATTCAGTTCTTTTTGCTGTTTCTCTTTCACTCTATCTATTTCCTTCTGCTTTTCTGAGGCTTTTCGATCCTAAAGAGCAAAAATGTAAATAAAGTCAGTAACAACAGCCTGAGATGTTTTGAGACACTACTGACTGATATGAGCTTGCTCAAGACTGTGATTTCACTGTTTTGAATATTCTGCTTTTAAAGGACTGGTATGGTTGTTAAAAGTAGCAAAATGAATCCTATATTGAATACTGTTCTACAGTAAATATTGGTCAGTCTTAAATTCTAGGAAAAAGGTCCCTTAAAATATACAACAGTACTGCTGATCTAGAGGCATCTTGCAGAATACAATCTATTACACATATTTAAATAGATCCCCTTCCTTTCATTCCCCATCATCCTTTGCCCCGAAAAGGTTCTTACCAGCTCTGCATGTAAAGCTATCTGTTTGGCCAATCCAACAGAGCCACAAATCTAAACACAAAACAGACAGAAATAATTAAAAATGCCTTTAAATTTAAGCCAGCATCCCAAATTAAATACAACAGCACATTAAAGCATTTGCAGGCACTTAAAATGACAGGTTTAACTTTCTCAGTACCTAAAAAATGCTTGAATGGATCTAGCATCTTGGAACCCATATTCACAAGTGACACAAGTCACAACCATCACCAATACCTTTTCCCCTTCATTATTTGATTCAAATATGTAGCAGATGGAAGTCTGGCGGCTCTCCACTCTCCCTCCTGAGGTTCTGAGCACAAATCCAAACAGGCGCTTATTCTCCTGGTGTGTAGCGTACAGCACTACACTGGGCAAAGGAAACTGCCAAAAGGATCAGACAGGCAGAGATTAGAACTGATTCCAGATGTTTGCCACACGAGGTTTCAATACACTGCACATTAATCAATGCACAACAAGTTACACGACCAAATGTAATTATGTAACACAAACAGATGGGACAGCAAGGACTAGATTATTCCAAAGACAAGCAAATGTCAAAAAACACACTCCAGGTAAGAAAAAGGGACTACATTTGCAGTGGAGTCAGTCATCTTCCTAAAAGTGGATACACTCCTGTTTTATTTTGTTTTAATCATTCATTATCACTACATTTGTGACTAAGCTTTCAATATTTACTTTCATGTAAAGGCACTACTTCTCAAAAACCTTTATTGCAATTAGCTCAATTCTCCTAATTATATAAGCAAGAAAAAAAACCCCAACCCATACCCTCATTCGTTTGTTACAAGAAAACTATTTTGCATTCTTATTCCTAAAAGAGGTTGGACTTCAAATTCTCTTTTTAAGACTCATCAAACAATAAACTTTAAAATTCTGAGAGTCCCTACCACAGCTGCTATGAACTGAAATGAGTTTTCCTAGAACTAGATGTGTGCATTTAGTATATGGAACATACCCTCAGTTGATGTACCTCACTTGTAAAAGGTGACAGCTTTGGAGCATTTTTGAACTTACTGTCAAAACCATAAAAACAAAACAGAGAAGCCAAACAGCAAACAAGCCAAACAGACCCTCCTGGACTTCAGAACTAATGTGACTCCATCATTAATGTTCTCTCTTTACTATTTTACCCTTTCAGATGACAGGGAGAAGGCAATCTCAAAAGCCAATTTGACCTATTGAAATCACTCCCCTAAACCTGATTTGCAAGTGTTTCTAAATGTCTGCATTGGTTTCCTAATAGCACTGGAAATTTGGCTGGAAATCTCATGCTATCAGTGATTTTTGCTATCATCTAATAATAGTATTTTTAAAGTAAAAGAATTACATTGCTGCATATTTATCTTAAAATGGAAAGTTACTTACTCGTAGTCTTGTAACTTGTGTCTGTGGATCAATTAACCTAAAAATTTGTTTTTAAAGACAAACCAGAAAGTAAATTTTACCAAAGTGAAAGAAGATCATTCTGTAAATAAGCATCAGTAGAAGTCAGGAAGCAAACTTACTTTAAACAGTCACAAGTGACTAACAAGTGTGACTCTGTCATCCTGAAAACGTTGTGGATGGCGCGAGCTGCGAGTATCTGACGCATTGTTTCATAAACAACATCTGGGCTTTCATCAGACCTCACTTCCATGGAGCCAAGAAATCTTACAATAAATAACTGATGAAGAATTGAATCTAAGAAAAAAGGAAAGTAATGAAAAAAAAAAACAAACTCCATTTTGTGTTTCCCATTCAAAACCAAAGGTGGACTGCAGTTAGGAAAACTCCAAGCTCCTCTTCACTTGGAAAGATTGCTCCTACTTAGCAATCAGAGGTGCAGTTACTACACAGCACACCACACATCTTTGCATTTCGTTAATGAATACAAAAGATGCAATGAATCATTTTTAAAGCAGATTTTCAGATATCAGTTTGATTTAACTTATCAAATACCTTGCAATGTAATTAAGCATTTTAAAACTGGTGTTAAATTAGAAGAGAGAAGCTGAGGTGAAAACAGAACTATAATTGTCAAAACTTATTTTTATTTTGCATTGAAGTGAAATTTTGTTTTACCTTCTGTTTCAGGTTTTGAGCCTCCAGATTCGCCAAAAGGATTTGTGCGTCTATCAAAAAATGAAAACATTAAAGCAGGAGTCAGATTACAGAACCATTCATGGACAGTGCAGTAGTCTCATGCTGTGTCAAATACCAACACGTAGTGAGTTCACAAACTTGTCATCTGGAGGAATAATGTATCATGAACCATAAGGAGAAGCAGTTCTATCAGGAGTGAGACATAGCTTGCTGTATTTGAGGGTCCACATTATGGGGAGAATACCAGATATTATTGTTCTATTGCTGCCATAGAAATGTTGCTCACTTTTTTTTTTTTTTTCAAATATTCAAATTAAGACCAAACCAAAACCTTGGTAATGTTTGAAAAGGAATAGTTTTAGGGGATGAAATTTCAGAGTACAGCTTAAGGAAGCACAAGCAAAAACCAGGCCCTTTCAGTACTCAATAAGAGCGCCCACTTCTCACCACTGTCAAGGTGCTGAATTACTTACTCAAGAGAAGCCCCTGGGTTTGTTTCAAATGCAGCTTTCTCAAAACATCACTGGGCTTTTACTCCTAGAGAGTCAAGAGAAATGTGGCTATTTCTGGCTCTCAGAGACAGTATTACTATCAGTTACAGAGAAAAGTGAAAATACTCTAGGCTTCCAAGTCTGCATTTTTCAAAAAGAGTAAGGGAATAAGCACAGGAAATGGGGACATTTTATTTAAAATTTGTAGAGGAAATTACCCATTCTCTCTGGCTGATTGGTAACTGAAAAGCTATTGGCAAGGGTTCAATATAGTTCAAATTAGGTTTTTTATGGGATTGATTAAAGTGTTACCTTGATAATTAGTGTGCTAAAAACAAATTTCAGGACTATGAGAAAAAAAATTGTTGAGTTACACATCCTGACTGCCAGTTTATTTTATTAATTATCAGAAATGTTTTAACTAAGAGATATCTAGTTTGAAGTAATAAAATTTTTTCTAGATTGAAGCCAACATGGCATTGCTACAATGTTTAGATAATCTGGACTCAATCAAGAACCATCTCATTAAAGGCTGACCTGTGTAATTATAGTAAAAGCAAATTCTTTATACCAGCATCTTCTATTGCTCAGATTTTTCTTGTTATTTAATATTAATTGGAACAGTAAATGCAGAATCTCACAGGATCTCTCAAAAGGCAAAAATAAAATTTAAATATATGTCATCAGTATCAGAAACCAAGAAAGTACTACCTTTTTTAATATCAAATATTACCTATGTGTACAAACTCTGCAGTTCTTTATTGGAGGCCATGGCTAATTGAAAATAGTGAGCTCAACTCTATCATTTCTGCTATGAAAAATATTATAACTGATGACATCACAGAATATTCTGAGTTGGAAGGGACCCCCAAGGATCACCGAGTCCAACTCTCCAGTGAATGGCCCACAGGGATTCAATCCACAGCCTTGGTGTTACTGGCACCCTGCTCTAGACCAGGCTACCACAGGAGTTCAGCTAAGTCTTAAACTTTCCACTTCCTGCAATACAGTTCAAGTCTATTTTAAATCAGTGTATCCTGTAGGATCTAGTTGGACACCTGCTTATCCTGCTATACCAAGCAACAATAAAAAGAAAACTGTGGAAAAAAGGAAAAAATAGTAGTGTATATATTTCAACTCTTTACATCTGTGAGATGCAATTCAAAATTCAAGTATTTTCCTAGAGGCAGGGAGATATAACACATTTTTGTGACAAGAATCACATAGATTATTTTTCATCTCTCTGGCTGTCGTTGTTAAGAACAGCTGGATCTGCAAATACATTTTGTTCACATCTGAATTCTATAGATAGAGCTCTAGAAATGCAGTGATGATTTACAGGTCTTTGGTTTTTAGTACATCTCCCACTCAAATATAATAACAAGTAGGAGAAAATGCTTTAATGTTTTGGATGAACTCTTCAGATGATTTTAACTTGTCTGTATGTGAAATTACTCTAGAAGCCTAGACCATTTTCACTCACCTTTCAGCTTAAGAGGAGTGTCATCGTATGCCATCATCACCTGGAGGCAGGGCTACCAAATTTCTCTTGATTTTCCAAGAGGAAATAACCCAAGCTGCTGGGTAAGCAAGCAATAGGAAAGGAAAATACCTTGTGAAACCAAAAGTTGAAAATAAATCAGTAAATAAAAGCATTGGCTGTTAAAGCAAGAAAAGCTGCTGCAAAACAGAAAACTACACCTTGAGTCTAGTGATGTAATTATGCCTTTTTTTTTTTACAATTCCATCTAACAGTTTAACAAATTGTTTTGCTCCACTGGCCACTGCAAAATTTGTGACAACAGTCAGGAAAAAGGCAATGTGTGTGCTGGAGCTGCATCTTAAATGGTTTTCTTGTTTATTGGATTTTGAATCAGTAACATTAACTTTAGGGATTTCTTTCCTTCTCCCTACATTTCCTACCTGCCCGATTGCCCTGATGACTTTGCTTGGCCAGGCAGATCTTCACTGACTGGAGATATTATGTCAAATTGGATGGGAGTGTCAGGGGCCACAAGGGAATCCAAGGAAAGTGCTGAGAGAGCTGTTGAGTCAGACCCCAGTGACCCTGTGCTGCTGGTGCGAGCTGCAGGAGGACGAGATTGCCTGCAACAAAACCAAAAGGCAAATCAGGGTATGAGATCAGGTGGGTTGATAATGAATTCAACAGGGGACACCAATACAATATTCCAGGCCTAAGATGTAAAACTAAACAAAAACTAAAAACCTGAAGCTTGGGGTATAGCAAACAAATCTGTGTACCTAGTCACATTTAAGTTAAAGTTACTACTTCCATTAATAATTGCATCAGATTGTGTTATAATTAATATGTGATTATATATTGATGTTAAATCAATCTGAGGTCTGCTTCCAGGAATTGGACACATGAGGAAAAATCTCATCATGAAGTCACACAACAAAACAGATACGATGAAACCAGCCAAAGTGTCCACCAGCTGGCACTGGGATTACTTGTAACAATGGATGCTCAGCAGTGCTTCAGCAGTGAAAGGTGTGTTCAGGAAATGTTCCTCTGGCCTATCAAAGATTTAGTTCTGATCACAAAAATACCTGTAGGTTTGTTAGGCTTTTTTTTTTCCCCTGAAACTTTACCCAGGATTTCTTTATATATGTGCACCTCAAATGCCCCCTGGCTGCTTCACTTACACAGCTGGCCTCATGCTCTCGTGCCTCTGCTGAAAGGAAGGAGAAGGAGTGACAGCCTCCAGAGCTGACTGGTTCACACGAGCAGCAATCTCCTGCAGCAGAGATGGGAAACAAGAACTGAAAACAATTTTCTCAAAATATGCTTTCAGATTTTCTTTATATGCAACTGGGAAAAGTTATAAACTCAACCTTTCAACGCTTCATGAGAATCTTGCATTTTAAAATTTTCACCAACACACTTGCAGCATTTTCTTCCAACTTTTCTTCAAACACATAACCTGATGTTAACTTTCTCAATTTAAATTAACATATTTGCCTTAAAATACTGCCAATGTTAATAAAAGGAAGCAATAGAGAAAAGCTCCAATGATAACTGGCAAAAAAAGCAAATGTAGCCAGGAAAACAAAAAGAAAAATCTCATTTGAGAAATGCAGCCCTCAACTTTGAACTAAAACCCATGAAGACACACTTCATATACAGATACATGGTTTGTTTTAAAACAGTTTTTATTGGGCCAATTCCCCTAATTTAGTAAGCAGAAATTGTTATGTAATTTTGCATCAATATGAACTCACTCTATAAATACAAATGTTCACATATTACTCATAATTATAAATTTTTGTAGAGTTACCTCAGGGTTTTCACTTAGATATATCTGCTTAGATATGTTGTTTATGGTGCATATCCACTGGAAAAGAGGAAGAAAAAAGAAAACAAATTAATCTGTTGTGTTTTCTAAACACTCTTGATTGAATACCTGAGCTGCTGTTTCAGCACATTTTTACTTTCTTTGTAAATTCAGGAAGCCAAATATTCTGCACACCCAGATTGTCATTAAATTCACTGCCATCTGCATACTGCAACCTACACTTTAAGATTTTACTCACAAAAACTATTTTAATCATACTAAAACTAAAGAAAGCTTAACTTACAGCTCTAAGGAATTTTAAAAAAACTCATCAGGATTCTCTGTTCTTTTTTTATTCTGTACTGCAGATGACATTGTTTCCTCACAACATTATAAAAATTCAATTTGGCTTTTGTGGAATTTGCTCATTTCTTGCATCTGCAAGCTAGAATCTGCTTTCTCTCTGCTCTGGAAAACCATTTGCTCCTGTTCCTGACTTTTCAACTTTTATCTGAAGGAGGAAGCTAACAGGAACACTAAGATAAACAAGGTGCTACTAACAAAGATAATTTATTAGTAAGTAAAAACAGAAAAAAAAAATGCAGTATCCAGCTATGGTTAGGAATGTATTCTTTCTGTGGAGCAGAAAATCACTGGGCTCCATGCACACCTCCTATAAGCTTACCTCTTCATAATCTTTTTTACTTTCTGCCTGTAAGATTGAAGACCTGAAAGAAGAGATGAAAAACACAGTTTTGTGTATGTAAAATGCCTCACAAATAGTCAGCCAAGAAATTACATTTTCATATTTACACTTCAAACAGCAATTTATGAAATGCTGAAGATTGTGCTGAGTGCAGTCAATGTTTAATTAGGATGGGGAAGAACCTATGCTTTCCTTTCAACAGGAAACAGAAAAGGCACACAATTCTAATTGTGTCCATGTAATACTTAAGCATTCACAAAATGCAATCATATGTGATTGTCAACTAATTACCGTAATCTTATTTTGAGATACTACTCAGCTACATTATAGAGCTTATAAACAAAAATCCAGTTAACACAGTTAAAAGGATATCCCAGATTTTGCTTCTAAATATCCACAGAACATATCAAATTAATATCTGGCCAAAGGCAGACCACCTTTCTTTTCCTAATTAGTGAGTCCAGTATTTCTTACAAGAACCAGCAATGTAAGAGCACTCACTTTTTGCCATCAAAAGATGTGATCTGAAAGCAGTACCGTCTGTCCTCACAGTCCACAGCCATCACAGAACAATTGTCTATGTCCATGACAAGTCCCCCAGCCACATCTCCTCTTGCCTGGCTCATCAGATTTCCACCTTGAGTGAAGTAAAACTGCCTCTCCCAACTGGAAGACACCAGCCCTGTCTTACTAAAAGATAAAAAGAAGTCCTCAGTTAGCCTCCCTTTTTGCTCAGACACTCTAATATCAGTTGTTGTAATTGTGTTCTAATACAGAAATTAATGCCTCATTCAGTAAGGTTTTTAACTGTTGTTGTAAAAGTAATCAATCTTTTTTAAAAAAAAATCCTTGGAGCTTACTGTAAAAATTACAGTTAAAAATTTTAAATGTTACAACTTATTTTTAATAGCTCTGAAAACAGCTGTGGGAATTCCTCAGAGGCACAGCTCCCTCCTGTGGACCATGAACCACTGCTGCATGGAATCCAGAAGCTCCTTCCAAGGGTATTTTTGTTAACAGAATGCTTTGCTTTGTTTAGATCAAAATTACAATGTTTTATTAGTAATTTGAATCCCAAAGCTTTAACAGACACTTCCAGAACAATCCTGATAGATGGAATCTTGTTACTTCCCAGTTAGGATGCAGAGAAATTATACTCTCAAACCTTTTGTTTTTTAAACTGTGAAAATTCAGGCAAAATTAGACTAAAATCAGGTTAATTATGCTTTGCACGTGAATGACATTATGTCAGTGTAACAATGATAATTTAATACTAACTAGGTGAAGAAGTCCACAGAAAGAAACAAAATAGCTCTTATGTGACTTATTCAACTAAATGTATAAAATCAGCATAGCTAACATCTAAGAAAAATTTCCAGCTTCTTTAGCTTTCCTTTCCCAAAATTAAATACTCTGGAATTTTTAAATAACAAGTTACTCTTACTTTCTTGCATTGAGATAGCCAGCTTTCCGTGTCAGATTCCTATGGGCAGGAAATTTGGTAGGATCAGGATCAGGCAAATACAGTGGATCACTGGCTACTTCCAAGTCCTCTATAGTTTGTTGCATGTTTTCTACTTCACAATCCATTTCCCTGCGAACACTAAGATAAAAAACGTCTTATTAACAAAGATAATTTATTAATAAGTAGAAACAGAAAAAATAATTCCATAAAAGTTCAAAATTCAACAAAGCCAACTTACTTCTGTACACTTGTGCCAATATTGGTCAAAAATTCTTCCAGTTGCTCAGTAAGATTTTCTGAACCCATTTTAAAAAAGCTTATCTTTAAAGAAAAAAGGAGAAAAAGGGAGAATTTAGTAATTAATAAAACTACATTGACAATTAACAGATGGAGTCATAGGAGGTTAAAGTTTCTCAGAGAAATCTGTTTTCATCCCTCACTCCCACCAAAGCCTCTTACTAAAAGCAGCAGAATGTGTGTTTGAAGGCTGCTGCTGGCACTGCAGTGGCACTTGTGTCACAAGGACATGAACAGAGCTGCCTGGAGGAAATACAGAGACACAAGGAAACACTCCCAGGGGCTCTGTCCTTTTTCAATGCCACCATTCTGCTAACTGTTGCTTTGGGGGGTTATTTGGGGCACATAGGAGAGAAACTGTGGGGATTTGTCCAGGGCCATCCACAGGGAATGACCAATATGTATTTTAAGCACAGGCTACTCCACAATGGGCCAGAAAATCTGCCACAGCTAAATTGAGGAAGCCCTGCCCTTCTGTTTTTTAGATTCAGCAAAAAGCTCACCTAAGCAACAGCTTGCACTTACTTTACTGCACAAAACATGCAGAACTTGGCTCTTAAATACAAGCTGCAAAGTTTCAAAAGAAAGCAAGAGTTCTTGCCTTTGGAAAGCTTTCAGACAGTGTTCAGAAGTTGATTTCTACTCAGGTCACTGCAGCAGTGCCAGCTCTGGAAAGCTTGACTTGCAAAAAAACCCAAAGCTCATGCTTAATAACATACTTCCCAAAATAAATATTAAGTCTGTCCAAATAACTTTATCATGGTTGTATTTTCTGTTGCACCCATCCTCAAGTAAACCAATCATGAACTTATTAATATTAAGCAAAACCACAGCAGAATGTTTTTTAGCATTCTGGCTCTTCCACAGCCTTGATTGACAACAGCAGTTTTGTGGCTTTTGATGAGTATCTCATTTCAGAACAGCTGCCACAGGAATGAGTTTAACTGTCTCCATGTTATTTGCTGAGAATGTTCACTTCTATGTGCACTTGCATGAAAGCTCTAATCAGTTCTTCCATTTAGTGAAATCAAGTGCCCAGCAGTGAAAATCTAGGCATTACATCAAATCCAACCATCTGAGTTTTGGGGGAAAAGTAACCATTATATTTGTCACCCAGACTTTGCTAAAAGACTCTGTATGGCAGTGAGGGCATGTCATGCAGAGATTGCTGCAGTGAGTGGGCAATGAGCAGTGCTAACTAACAGCACCACCAGGGCAGCAGCTGTGGCAGCCCAGAGAACTGCATGGGTGGCTCTTGTTCTCCATTTCCTTCCTTGGACTGCAGAAGAGGGCTTGCAATGGATTTCAGTACATCAACCTTCATAAGTACTTTTATTTCTTCTTTCAGACCTATAGCTTTCAGAATCTGAAATTACCTGAGCTTGCATGTATCCTAGCAAGGGTTCTAGCAAAGAAATCTTCTTTTTGTACTGGAGAGTGTTTAATGCACAGAAATAACGCATCATAGTCTGATGCTGTTTTTTCCTTGAAGTATATACATCTTCTGTAACTTCAGCCTTGATCTGAAGAAACACAGACAAGGGGAGGGAAAAAAAGGAAGGTTTGAGATTGGCATTGATCACATGCCTTCTGGACAGCTTTATAGTCAGCATGGAAAAACCCAGTCATGTTCTACCCTCTATCACCAGCTGCTGCATATTTTACTATTCTGCTCTCTAATTTAAACATGAGATACGTGAAAAACAAATACAGCATTCGTTGCTACCTGGAAACTGTGGTTATTTCTTCCCAAAAACAAACTGAATATGACATCACAATATTATTCCTAAAGCACTGTCAGTGTTACAGGACAGTCTGCTTTTCTGTCTAGACTGCTAAAAGCTATCAAATGTCACACAGAATCTGCCACACACTGTCTTCCATCACATAAATATATACAAGATGAAAATTATTTCTTCTTCTTTAAAAATCTTTATATTAAGATTTTGTTTTACAAACCTTTTCATTTTCCTTTCTTTTTGACAACCGACTGTATCTGGTAATGGCAGCATCATGGTCTAAGCAATCAAGAGAGAATTTATGATCATTTTCACAAATTAATGACTTATGAAACAGAGCAGAAAACCTTTTATGTCACAGTGTTACACAGACAGCTGAATGCAAAGTTGTCATATTAACACCTTGAGGAATGGTTCTTGTCTATTTATAATCACTTCTCTGCAACAAATACTTGGGCTGAAGAAAAATTCTAACCAGATGCAAACGTTGCCAAATTGTTACAAAGTTCCCTAAACATCCACTATTTTTCAAAGAAGAACTGCCCATCAAGTAGAGAAACTTTACATTATGAAAACCTGTATCTAATCTTTTTTCTGCCCATTAAGTAGAGAAACTTTACATTATGAAAACCTGTATCTAATCTTTTTTGCTTCTAAAACAATTAAACAATTTTCACTGAGAGAAGTAGAATTTATTTAAGTATTAAGTTCTTATTTAAATAAGTTCTTTACATGGATATATTAGAGGCAGCTAAAAAAAATAACTTCTGAAAATACGGAAGAGAACTATGAAATTCATTCTAGAAAAGTAATTTTTTTTAAATTGATCTGGTCCTGTCTTTAAGAAGCAAGCTAGCATCTTACACTTTCTGTAATTTTGGTGGCATAATCCCACATGGTTTAATAATCACACATGCACTTAAGGTTTTGTAAAAAAACTCTTTCCACATGCCTTAATACTTCAGTACACAGACCAGAGATTTACAGGTGAACCAGGAAAAGTTGAATGCCTAAGTATCACTCAGAAAAATTACACCTTCATTAATTACTTAAAGCCTACAGGCTTAACTCCACTAGTTAAGGACAAATAATAATCTACAATAATACTGTTGTCTTGTAATATTGATAAGACTAAGTACTTTACACTTACCATTGCTTGCAATTTGGAAAACTTCTTTTAGAGTTAATATCTCTAAAAAAAACCACAACATATCACAATTTAAATAAGTTCTTATTAATGTAACATTCATGTATTACAGTTTCTCATGTGATGTTTCACTACTGAGCAATTGAAGGCAACACCTTGTACCATACTGAGCTACCAGCACAGGCACTACGTGGCCAGGCTCCTGCCTGGGGCCTGAGGATCATTTCTGGGCTTACCAAAAAAAAAAAAAAGGAGTAATTTCTTTTCAAAAGTCTTTGGAAGTCATCATCAATGCAAATGTGTCACCTGTAGTTCCAGTCTGGGCTCTGGTTTGAGCTGGAGACATGCAAACATTGGAGATGGGCAGTATCAAAGCCCAAACCACACTGGGACTCCTCCCAGCTAAAATCAGCCAAGTTCCAGCTGGTTACTGCCTCCTGTGCCAGGAACTGGAACCAGCACAAAGCCTTCCACCTGTTCTGATCTTGGCTGGGGTTTGTGCCATGTTACAATACAAACCAGCAGAGAGCCATAATCAACTTTATGCTAAAGCAAGAACAAAACAACTTTGCAGGAAGTGCCTATGAGGCTCATAAAGAAGTGTAGGGTCAATACAAACTACACCAGCTGGTGGCTACATCTGGCAGTGGGAAAATGTCATTTGGAATTACTGCCTCAGGGGTGCCTCTTCAGTAAGTACTAACAGGAGAGTTTTCAGGTCCTGAGAAGCAGTACCAGCCTTGGAATAGTCATGATCCATTGCTAAAAAAAAAAAATAACCAACCCAACCAAACCATAATCTTTTCAATCATAATTTTGCTGTGAACTATTGCCAAAGAAGTATTTTCCAATATTGATGAAGAGTTAGAAGACCTATGAAAGACTTGTGATTTTTATTTCAATTTAGATTTCAGATCTTCATATCTTAGGCATGCCCACTCTAGAATGTTCAAAATAGGGATACTTAAGTTACTTGGAGTTTAACTCTTACGATTTCTACTTGGAAGCCCATTTGCCACAGCTGTCTGTTCCCTCCAGTATCCTGAGTAAAATCTACCATCATCACACACATTAGATGTTATTTTAAACCAGGCACAAGATAGAATTATTACAAAAATAAGAAGCTGCTGCAAGCACCTTATGTCTGCACATAAGAAGTCACCTGTACTACAGCAGAGTTGAATAACCACATTACTAAATCTCAATACAGTTGGCACTTTGCCTTTTGAGCTTAGTCCAGCAATTATACAGATGTCATGATCTGATATACAAATCTTTCCTGAAAATGCAAATTATCTGAAAATTATTCTTTCCTAATGTTTTTGAGTAGCTGCTAATTGTTCATCTTGAATAGAAGATAAGTGCTTCCCTAACATAAGTAATATTTTTGTTGCAACAATAATAATGTTAAGTTCAACTGTAATACTCTCATGAATAGAAATAACTTACTTTGCTTTTTAAATGGGGAGATGCATACTTTTGAGAGCTGGAAAATAAGTGGTGTATTCTATTTAGTGAAACAAGAGCTATGAAGATTAAATGCTATGTTTTTATTGTGGTGTTGTTGAAAAAACAGTATTTGGTCAAGTCCTCTACCTTTTAGATCCCTTTCTTTAAACTGGGTAATAGGAAACATCATTGCATCTGCAAGCTGAGTTGAAAGTACTGCATGGCAAGAGCTGAGCTGAAAAAGACAGAAGAAGAGAATCTTAAGAAAGCATGTCTGAGACCAAATCAAATCACAATAGGTGGACATCAATGTCACTCAAAGATGACATGAACAACTCAAACACATTTTTGCATGTTCCTTTTTTTGCAGCTACTTTTTTCTAGCTTCCAGATCTCATCAGCAGTTTTTTACAGAAAACCTTTAGTTTTTCTCTGAACTTTTCCAAGCTACTGGATCATGTCCAAAAATGGCCTCATCCATCCTGACTAGTCCATTTATTCCCAGTTTCCCTCCAGCTAAGTCACAGCCCATCTTTCACAGAGGTAGAACAAAATGTGATCCTCCTCCTAAAATGCTGTTTAATTGAGGAGAGGGATCACAACAAAAATCCTGATGCAGCTCTTAATGGTGCTCAGTTGTGTGTCCTATGAGTCAGTATCTAAGAGAGCAGGAGGGTCCTCTGTCAGTCAGGTACCTGGAATCAGGCAGCACAGATACCCTCATGTACAAGCTGCTAACTGCCACTGTGTAATGGTTCTGGCTCTATCTCTAGTGGTTAAACTAGTTTTTTTCAGCAATGTATCCTCATTTTGCTGAATTTGTTCTTTATCCCAAGGTTATGTAACTTTAAATAGATGCTGCAATATACAATTAATTGTTACCTTGTTGACAAATGAATGCCATTTCTGTACTTTCTGGCTTAAAGAAGGAGTAATTAGGCAGCTAAAGTCTGTACCTGACAGCATTAGCAAAGCACATACAAGGACTTACCTCATCAATCACTTTTGCAAATTGCTGCAGAGTGGAAGTCATGACTTCATCATCTCCCCCGAGTGGAAAACGCTGAGAAAGCAAAAAGAGTTATGTTGTTTGCAGTGTTTTGTGTCATTCACAAAACTGGATTAATCATCTCTATGAGTATATCAGGTATTCCATTATTTTAAAAGATTACACAGTCAAGATATACTGAAGCAGTTCATCTCATTAGGTGGAAAAGGAGGATAGGGAGCAGCAACTTCTTAAAAGAAGCAAATTTTTGTTTTAAACATTTTTAACCTCAGCAAAGTGGACCCAGCAGCAAAGCTACAAACAAAGAACCCTTCATTGTACAGGTTATGAGGAAAGAAAGTTATGGATTCCACAGTCTGCTTTCAGAGATGGAATTATGCTCACAGAGAAAATTATGGTTGTAATTTGGAGATTGCAATACAGTCTCTTCTCTTTGGGACTGTTGATATTTAAGCACTTAAGGGTAAATAGGTTTATAAAATAAAACCAAAACAGAACTACCCTAAGCAATTCTCAAAAAAACTAATCCAAAAGTAAAATATTTCAGAAGTTATTAATATTCTTCATGGTAAGAGGAACTTCATGCTGGTTTAGCTGGAAGAACTAAAATAACAAAGTAGATTCTTTCGGCAACAACTTAAACCACCAAGCCACAGCGGTTCCTTTTATCTGGACCAATCCTAAATACATTCTACACTGTGCTCTGGGAGATAAAATACCACAAAAATACACAGTATTCTGACCACAGTATCTGTCCACACACGGACTACATGATTTATGCAGTACCTGTTTCTCATATTCCTTCAGAAGCTTTGAAGTCAGATGAGTTGCTGCACTTAATTCATTCTGATTTAAAAAAAGGGAAACATGAAAATCAATAAAAAGTCAAACAGGTAAAGCATATCTAAATTAAAAATACAGACAAACTCAAATTTTTAGAAAAACATACAAAATAGATTCTGTTTCTGGCATAAAAATTGAGTTATTTCTAGATGAGTGAACATGAATATATTGTGGGTAAAAAATAACCTCCCACTTGATACATACTATTATACACACCAAGATCATTTTATTGTGTGCAACATTTTGGAAACACTTGGGAAATACAATAGAGCTACTTGGAGAACAGAGAATATAATTTCACTTGTCATAAGAAATTCAAAAAGAATCACAAGAATTTAGTCTTTACCACTCCCTAACATACAGAAAAGCAATCATTAATTCTTACTTTATTTCACTTCTGCGTTTAAAGCATATGGAAGTTAAAGAAACATGAAATGTGGTTCCAAAACTTGATAATGCATTCAAGAATTTCATTAACTGTACCTGAGCATCATATATTCTGTGCATGGCTTGAAACAACTGATTGATGTAATTGGATATTGCAGCAGCATCTTCTTCAAATACTCCCAGCAAAGAGCGGGTCTGTAACAATCAAACAGCCAAAACACAACCATGGCAAGTTAGAAGAGAGGAATTTCAATATAATGGAATTTCAGACTTAAATAGCATTATTTCAGGTTTCATTACTGAACATTTTATAAACCCTTCAATACTGCTTAAAGGAATGATACCTGTTGCATGCCAAAGAATCTTACAGATAGCCAGGCTCAGCCTTCCTCCTACTGTCAGCCTCTCTCCAGGTTAATACATTTTCAGAAAGGAAAGGGCCAAGGGAGATGGACAACTGTTAAATGTTGAAACTCTGGGCAACTACTGGGCTCACTATGGTACATCCCTGAGGAGGGGTAAAGATTACTGGTATTAAACAGCTTGCCAGGTATACACATTTGCACTCCAGTGAGATCCAAATAAAGGCTGTGACTGTCTCATACTGTCCAACCTGAACACAGACAGTTGCTGGTTTTGCTTGGACCTATAATTTACCTGTGGAATAACCATCAATTCTGTGGTCAAAAGGTTGAGGAACTACACCAAACCAAAACAAACAACACAACCTGCATCTGACTGTCCTCAACATACAAGATTCTCACCACTGAAAGAGAGGGAAACGATCTGTCCTCACCCCAGCTTGTCAGTCTATCTGTTCCTTAGCTGGTGTCACCCACAAGCCTGATGACTCCTGTGCCCAGCTGCACTCCTGCATCACTGATGGTGCTTCACAACCTCCACCTCAAAAACCAACCTCATTTATCACTGGCCACCTATTAGACTAAAACATTGATCTCCAGCTGTAAGCCCAACTACCCAGCCAGTTTTTCCACTCAGGTCACAGTCCATCCCTCTTCCCTTTTGGGCAGAAGAATGTTGCCAGACCGTGTCAGAGCCCTTGCACAAGCCGGGGTGACTGACATCCCCTGCTCTCCCTCCTGCCCAAAGGGCTGACTCGATAGGAAGGCAGTCAGGTTGCTCAGGTGTAATTTGCCTGTAAGCTTGAATGAGATGCTGACTGCATGTTCTTGCATCCTTTTTGCACTTGGAAGCAAGGTTATTCCTCCTCATTGTGAGGATTTTGAATGGCTTCCTTCCACCAAAATTCCCAAAGAGGATGCCCCAGTAACTCTGCACAGGCCAGACTGGCTTCTCTTAAAACATTGCTTGGGATGCTTGGCTGTAGAAAAGGGAGCAGCACTTGCAAGAGCCACAAAGGAAATACTCTGGCAATGTTTTAGCAAAAGGACCATGCTTTGTTTCTAGGTTTACACTGAAATTAATGTCCAGGCAGATAATTAAAAGAATCATAAGCACATTATTGCTTTTTTCCCCCAAACTGTGATTGTTACACACTTGAAATTGGAAGTTCTGTTTTTTAATCTACCCTAGGCTGTCTTGCAATTACTGAAGTCTTTAGTCCATCTCTCCTTGAAGCATGAAGGTCTTTTTCAGCTATTTCTGATTTTTTGCTTTTAATGATAATCAAAGTATAATCATATAAAGTATATAATCATATAAAGTATAAAACTCATATAAAGTATATTATTTAATGATTCCTTTTGACCTAAGATTCTTTTATCTAAGTTGCATTAGATGCCTGGCTTTATCACAATTACTGTCATGCTATATAATGTCTAAAAGATATAATCAAACAGCATAATCCACACAAAAATAGCTTTAATGCTGGTTCTAGTTTATAAAACAAGTGGAAAGAGGTGGAGGAGAAGTCAAATCCTTTGCCAGGTGTGGCAACATGTGTCACAGCCTTGACTCTCCCATTAAGGTAGACAGAGACGGAAGAATGCAAAAGAAAAAATTACATGGTACTATAACCATTGAATTATATACTCGTGACCTTTAAACCTGAACAGAAATAAACCTGAGCTTGGAATTTTAAAGGAGTATTATGTAAGGTTTCTGGATTATACTAACTCTTTAAAACTGAACATGGAAAAAACAATATTTTTGTTTTACTTGAAAAATATCCGTTATTGATGTTCAACATCATATGATACTAATGGAAAGAAATTAACCTGAAACTGTAAATAATTTATGGCAGACTCCTGCTTAGCAGAAAATGAGAGCACTTGTTTACTTATGTTTCTAGTAAAACTCTGCATCATTTTGCATTTTCTCTAGGATTCTTTCAATCCGTGTTTGTGAGCAAGCAAAGAGCAAAGGACCAGGGAGAAGCTGCACAAAGAAACCCCTTGTCAGAAGTGAGTGTTAAGCCGTCCATGCCATCAGATGGAGGGCACTGCAGGTGACAGGAGACAGAGCCTGTGCTACCAGTCTCTTGGCTTTTTGTTGTGCAATGCTTTGGGAATGCAAATCAGTGTGAGCAGAAACTCTCTCTAAACACACGCTGAGTGTGTGTGTAATGGATGTCCTAGGTTAATAACTAAATTGCTCTGTTTTGCATAGGAAAAGACTATGTAAACTTGGTGTTTGGTTTAGGCCTGACAAGCACACTGGTTAGATTTTGATCCTGTGACAACAGGAAATGAATGGGTTTGGACATTTTTGAAAAGCCTTTCCTTCCTCAGACACAGAATAAGTTTGATATGAAGTTTATATACCTACAGTCAGTGTCTGAAACACAAACTGCAGGCCATGGTGCGAACTGCAGGCAATGGTGCAACTGATGGGCTGTGCAATATTCACCATGAATGTATCCAAGTCATGGCAGCTCCTCCAGAGAGAGGCTTCTGCTTGCTCCAAGCAACATTTGCTGCACTGATTTCAAAGTAACAGAAATTAATTAATGTAACAAATGGACTAACCCAACAGAACACTGAGTCCTTACTAGAGGACCTGGGTCCTGGAGTCACCTGAAATATCGACTGAAAGATGTAAATTTTCCAGCTACAAAAGACAATATGGACAAATATTTTCTACCTACAAAAGACAATACTGACAAATCCAATTACTTAAGCATCTCAAACACATTGGGCTGAATCAGTCTCTGCTTGTCTGTCTCACAGCTAACCTCACACGGAAGATTCTAGAATTACAACTGCATTCTAATAAGTAACATTTTTTCAAGTGCTTCCCAAATGTCCTCGGATGGTCCTAAGTTCACGTCACATTTGACATTTCCTATAAATTCCGAATAGTTCTGACTTCCTTATACTAAGAAAAGACCTTCAAGAGATAATTTTTAAAAATCAGTATTATTACAAGACTTTCAGAATTTTTTCCTCTTCATGAGATCACAGCAGGTTTGGCCTCTGGACCAGAACCCACATTAGAGGCCAGATCTCATCTCACATTCAGCATTTGAGCTATCTGGGGCACTGTCCTTAGGAAATCAATTATTCCTTTTCTGCATGGCCTTCTCTTGCCTTTTTAAAGTCGTCTTTCCACTTACATGAAATTGTTAAAATAACTGTCATTTTAGGGGCTATATTTTCTTTTTTAGCAAGTGGAAGTTTCTCTTCCTGTAACTAAGGAATGAAAACTACAAATGCACATGCTATTGCAATATAGGACAAACTGCTCACTATACAAATCATGCACCAGAACAAGGACCTTAATTCAAAAGGCTGCCATAAAAGAAAACACGTTGCAAACTTTCTCCAGCATCTAAGAAATACATACAAGGACTTGCTCTTGCTGCTGCCAGCAACAAGAGAAACCAGAGACACTGAATAAATCATTCCCTACTTCAGAACGAAACTCCGGCGCCCTACAGAGCATCGCTGACACACGTCAGGCAGCAGCGACGCCAGAGCAGAGCGGGAGCGCGGAGAGGCCTCCGGGCACCGAGCGCGGCCGCGCTAAGCTCACCCCGCAGCCGCTCCTCGCTCGCCTCTATTCAGCCTTAGCGCGCCTTAGAGAACAACAAAGAGGAAAATCGTTTTGAGAAGGCAGCGCGGGGTTTGTGAGCACGAGGAGTCCAAACTCGAGCCTGAGTGCGAAGCGGGGGTGGGATCAGAGAGCCGCTGCTGGTGCCGGCTCTGCCCTGCCGGAGGTGCCGCAGCACTCCCGGCAGCGGCGGCGGGGCCAGCGGAGCTCCGAGCGGGCGTTCGCAGGGCACGGCCGGGGCGGAGAGCCCGAACCGAGACGGTCGGAGCCCCGCGGGGCCGAGCGGGCAGCGTCCCCGCCGCGCTGCTGGGGCGTCACCCTTCCTCCCGGCCCCCGCCGCGGCTCTCCCGGGGCCGGGAACGACAGGGAAGCAGCGCTGGGCCCGCCAGCAAGGACTGGGCCCGATGCGGCCTCCGCTGGGCCCGTCTCACCTGCGGGCTGTCCTCCAGCGTCTCCTCGATGGGCAGTTTGTCGATGCCGGGCATGGCGGCGACCGCGCTGAGCCCCCGCGGCTCCGCTCCCCCGCGCCAGCCCGGCCGGACCCGACCCGCACCGACCCCCGCCCGCCGCGCGCCGGACGTCCCGCCCCCCGCGCGCCCCGCTTCCCCATTGGCCCGCTCTCTCCTCTCACCCGGCTGCCCATTGGCTGGCGGGCCTGCCCGTTCGCGCGCAGGCGCGGGGGCTGAGGCGCTCGCGTGCGGCCCCTGAGGGCCGAGGTTCGGGGCTGTCTCGGAGCCGCTCCGTGTGGGGAGCGCAGCGGGGCAGCCCGGCCGCGTCCCCGCTGAGCTGGCTGCCCGGCAGTGCGGGTCACGGCTGCCAAGGAAATTGTCCTCCCAGCCCTGTCTGTGCTCCGGTGGTGGTTGTCGTCTCCTCACAGACAATTACCGTGAGGGCCGCTCCACAGCAAGGGAGCGCTGCTGGGTCCCGGCCGTTCTGGAGCATCTTTGGCACTCTTGCCACGTTATCTGGAGCATCCCTTTTGGCAAGTCTGTTATCCCTGACATGTTTATGGGCCCCAAGTGGAGGCCAGTCACTTCTGTGCTTGCAGTGAGATCACAAAGAGGTCTTAAGCTGAGACAGGAGAAATTTTGATTAGATATTAAAAAATAGCATCTCTGCTCTCTTAGACTGAATAGTTGTGGTACCATAGGTTGGTGGCAAATTTGAAATACTTAAAACTACTGTGAGGGCTTACTGAAATCAAAACGGGTCATTTATTTGACTTGTGAACTGGTTCAGCTTGAAATTACTTAGAATTGTAGAATCCTTAAGGTTAGAGAAGACCTCTAAAACCATAGAGTCTAACCATTAATCCAGCAGCCCACGTTCACCACTAACCATGTGCCCAAGTGCCACATCCTCACATCTGAACACTTCCAGGGATGGGGATTGTCAGTGCCACCCTGCCCATGGAGAAACTTTTCCCAATATCCAATCTAAACGTTTCCTGGAACAGCTGGAGGCTGTTTCCTCTGGTCCTGTCACTTGTTACCTGGGAGATGAGACTGACCCCACCTGGCTACAACCTCCTTTCAGGTAGTTTTAGAGAGCAAGACGTAGTAGAATTGATGATAGTTTTTAGCTGGGAAAAAAGAAAAAAAAAAAAGGAGAAAAAAAAGCCATTCCCTTGTTGGTTTTGCCTTTTTGGGACCAGGTGAACTTAGACTAAAACCAGATTAGAAAGTACATGAAGTCATTCAGCAGAGCAAATGATTAATGATTGTGCAGTCTTGCTATGAGGCCATTGTTTATGTTGTATCAGGTTATGATTTACCATCAAAAGCAGATAAAGGACAGAGTGGTGTATTAAATTGCAAACAATTAAAGATTTTTGAGGTGGCTTTTGTTTGTTTGTTGGTTTGGGTTTTTTGGTGGGTGGGGTTTTTTGTTTTTTTTTTTTTTTTTCTGTTGTGTTGTTTTGGTTTTCCCTGTAGGGAGTGGTGAAGAAACTTCCAAGTTAATACTGTTCAGTCAATTAATTTGCCAGCTCAGCTGGTGACTCACCTGACTGAAGCAAGTCACAGCACCTCTCCCTTTCCCTGTCAATAAGGGTAATAATTCAGGGTTATCTTACAAGATGTTTTAAAGACTAAATCTTGTATCTGCAGCCATGTGACAGGACATTAACAGTGGTTCATGACCAATAAATAGATGTGCTTTCTGGTTTTGAGTCAGTTAACTTGTGACCAAGCTTTACAGCAGTCTTTACAGCAATAAAAAAATTACTTTGTTTCGTACTGTAAGATCATTTTCCTAGTGGAATTCAGGAAGGTAGTAACTTTAAATGGATTGGGTTTAGTTAGCTTTGTGTCTTTACAGCTATAAGTGGCATCCAAAAGTTTTACTTGAGCTACAAATTGGACTGCAACAAATGTAATAGTAATGAACTGAAGAATCCTTCTGCATCCTCTAATTGTGATTTTAGTGTTACACTGTTTTCAGCACTGTAGACCTTTTGTTAGTGTGTGAGGGGTTTTTTGTTGTCTTTTGGGCTTTTTGATTTGTGGGGTTGAGTTTTTTGTTTGGTTTGGGGGTTTTTTTTGGGCGGGGTTTTTGGTTTTCGTTTGTTATATTTTGTTGTTGTTGTTTTTTCTGCAAAATGTCTGCTAAAAAGCCTTAAAAATGAGGGGAACTAACACGTGGCACTTTGTCAACAGAGAGAAGAGCTGTGAACACCCTTCAGAGGATTCCAGATGTGTGCCCTTATGGAGAGAGCATTTTGCCTCTGCTGGAGGGTGAAAGTAGCTGAGTGGATAAGGTGGGCTTTATTTGCAGTGTTCCCCACTTTTTAACACACTGTTTTTCATACTTTTGCTAGTGACCACCTTGGATTAACCTTGAATTTACCTGCATTCACTTAATCTCCCTGTGTCAAAACAGCTTTTACTTCAACCAAGAAATAGCTAACTGCTTTTGTTTTCTGAATATTTGTGTTACCATTTTGAGGTATTTTAGCTTTAACAAAACTTGGGAATTCTGAATCGGCTTTGAATATAATACTTGTTATTCATGTTAAAAACATATTTGAAAGAGAGCTTTATGCAGCATAACTTCTGAGGTGGTGAAATACTGGGTAAAGAGGTTGTGAAAGGTGAGGTGAAAGGTGAATTTTTGGAGTGTGATAAGTAATGAAGAAAGACAACATATACCATTTATACCCTTTCAAAAAGCTGAAAATGTTGCCCAGGCTCTAGCAAAAGGTGACCCAGCAGTGGGTGAGAAGAGCAAAAGGCAGCAAGAGTAAGAACTGGGCCTTCAGACCAAAGCCCCCAAGAGCTCTCCTGGGGTCTCCTCAGCTGATGCAAACAGCCGGTGGAGGATTCCCATCTCTGAAGAAGGAGAGCTCCATCTCCTAAAGACATGAACTCCACTGTCCCTGGGCAAAAAACAGTGCTGCAAAGTCTGAAAGGGAGATTAGTTTCCTGCCTCATCAAGTTTGTGATGCTGTAAGAGGATTGGATTTGCATATCCAAAGAGCAGTGAGTTTTCCTATTATTGATTACTTAGGATTCCCAACTTAATGTTTGCTGTGTTGCTCTAATTATCCCTACCAAGGTATTTAGTTAAAAGTCAGTAGGTAATTTCAAATGGGTTGCAGGGTAGTATTGGTCAATGCCAATGGGCCAAAGCAATGAAATACAGTTTTCAAGAGAAGGCTTAAGGTCCATAAATGGTGACTGGAGCTCATCTTGCAAGTGAACATTGCAGGTGGATGCATGCTCCTTCAAGATCCATTGAGAAGTGTCCTTGGTAAGATCACTTCTGGAATTGTCACTCTTTTAATAGTTTGGTTTGACAGCAATCTTACTGCACAAAAAAGAGTCAGGTCAGAAGGAGAGGTAACTTTTCCTCCTGAAATAAAAATATTGTGTTCATGTTTGCCTGTTATTTTTGGACAAATCTTGATTTTATAGTGTCTCTACAGAAATTCCTCCTTTTCTTGTCCTGAACCAAAAGCTGTTTTTGAGCATGTGATGTAAACTGCTGTGTGACTGACAGATGAGCTTGAATATAAAAATGTTACAGTCTGTATTTTATTATAATGGATGAAATCAGAATTCTGTCAGATTTTATTACAAAACCTTTATCTCCTTTCTTCCCATTACTTTTTTTTTTTTTTTGGTGTGATTTTAAATGTTGACTCTGTAGGATTTAAATGTACTTCTGTTTGCTATAAACCTACAAGGAGGGAGAGACATCTATGAGAAAAAGGATGTTTTTAAACCTGTAAATTTGAGTGTACTGCTTCTATTCCTTGAAGTTTTGCTTTTATGTAGTGAAGAATTACCAGGAAATTTCACATCTGGTATGTTTCAAAAAGGCTGCAACAAAGTTATTTTAATAAGAAAAATGAATGCATGAATTATTTAAAATAGTTGGTGCAACTGTTCCTATTAACTAATCCAGGCACTTGGAAGGCAATTACACTGAGCTTTGACAACACTGCCAACCCACTGCACAGTGCCTTATGCCAGAAGCTATTGTTGTTTTATTGACCACGTTCACCATTACATATGCATATGAAAAAACAGAGGCATTTTCATCGGGATTACCCTAATAGCATTAAGAGATTATTTTTTAAATTTCCTTGGAAGGAAATTCACTTAAATGAGATTACTTATTACTTGACTGGTTTCCTATCATGCTTCTATGTTTAGGTAAGTGGAGTCCATTAGAGTATGAAGTTTTTTTAAAAACTGATTTTATACATTAATGATTTCAAATAAAAGAGAAGTACTATATTTGTGCACAGCTTCTTTTGAGAAAGTGAAGTCGATGCTCTGGTTAGGAGAGATAACACTTTTTGTCCCCCTTGGTGGCCCCCCTAGCGTCACCATTAGTTGCTAATTACTTGCAAACAAATAAACAATTAACTCCTCGTGCCTCTTGGTGGGAGAGTTTTCATTGACATGCTAAAACTTTCTAATAAAAGATTTTAATTAATGACGTTACAAATCCAACCCCCTTGTCAACGCAGCTATAAGGAGGACTTGTGGAGAAATGCGAGTACAGTACCCCGGCTATGCTGGCTGAGGGCGAAGGCATGGCCGGTCCCTCGCTGTGTGCTGCCTCTCCGGACCGGCACAGGGCGCCCGGCTTTGGAGACAGTAAAACCACACACTGCTCCTTTTCCATTGAGAGTATATTGGGACTGGAGCAGAAAAAAGAAGGCATTGCAGCTGGGAAACCTCACAGACCCTGGATGGATGCGTGCACCAGCTTGGGTAAGTCAGTCTGTTTTGTAACCTTAAAGCTTTTACCCTTTAAAAATACTGGCATGTTTCTACTACAAACCAGTAAATTGAAGCTCTGCTTTTCTTGCTCTTTCTAGTTTTAGGTGATGACAGTAATCCCCATCTGCAAATCCCTGTTGTTTGCTATGAAAATCCATTATTTAATACTAGAAGTGATCCCGTGCAAGAGGAAAACGTTTTGAAATGTGAAAAATATTTTTCAGTCGCTGAAAGACTGTCTTTCAAACGAGAATTGAGCTGGTACAGGGGTAGAAGACCAAGAACTGCATTCACTAGAAACCAGGTAGGGCTTTCCTTAGCATTTAACAAATGAGTAACAATGTAGTTTAGTAAAATGTTGGATGAAACCTCTAACAGCTGATAAAGTTCGGTGTGATACACCTCTGCAGAGAGAAATGTAATCAGGAACTAGTGTGAATTAACAGGAATGTTGCTAATTTCAGCAGATCTGTGTTTATGCATGGAATCAGAATTGTGCAAACACTGATCAGAAGTCTCCTGTTGAACAAACTAAGCTGTTATTTTATTTATTTTATGTATTACTGCTATGAACATAGTGTTAACTATTCAACAAGTGTATTTTAATCTCCTCAGATTGAAGTCTTGGAAAATGTTTTTAAAATGAACTCCTACCCTGGCATTGATATTAGAGAAGAGTTAGCTCGCAAATTAGATTTAGATGAAGACAGGATCCAGGTAATTAAAGGTTTCTTTGAATTTTTCTGTAATTCCAGCTATATGTACTCTCTGCTTATGTAGATAAGTAGTTTGACAGCAGTAATGAGAATGTTAATACTCTCAATTTATACCAGTGTATATACATGAGACATGCCTTCAATGATTTGTGAAATGGAAAACACTGAATTCCTTCTGAAATCTAAAGCCTTCCATGGCACTGATGAGGTATTCATCACTATAATATTTCCACAATATCTGCTCTGTTAATCTCTAGTTATTATGTGCAGAACTTGATAATTTCCTTAAAATATTTTTTGTGTTTTGCTTGTCACCATATTTGAAAAATAAATTTGAAACAAGTATGGACATAATTTGTGAGACCACCAGCAGAGCATGGATGTGTTAAACCAGTGTTTGAACCTATGTCTTTATCTGGCCAAAAGCAAAATCTATTCAGGGATGTTAATTATTGATTTCCAGGTAATTCAATGTGACAAGAAGCATACTGTACACATAAGAATTCGGGCTTCACTTTGTTGTTTATCAGGCTTTTGTTGCAAGTATTATATTGGGCTTGATGAGAAACTTGGTGCTGCAAATAGTTAAGAAATAGCACCATAAGACATGTGTGAATTCCAGATGTTCAGGATCTTCCAGGATCTGATCCTGTCACTGAATTTAATATCTCTTTTTATATTAATTACAGTGAAGCTGATCTCATTTTCCAGGTAACCTGGGGATGTTATTTTCTTTGTGGTGATAAAATTACAGGTGCTGTCATCTGCAGATTTTAAATTTATATTGAACTTGCAAACTGCTGTTGTCACACCAAATATTGTCATGCTGTGTGAATACTTTTAAGTTTCAAACATTATTTTGCTTCCACTGCTGTGTTTCTGAAAAGCATCCCTTCTCTTTCCATTTTAGATCTGGTTTCAGAACCGTCGTGCAAAGCTGAAAAGATCACACAGAGAATCTCAGTTTCTAATGGTGAAAAATACTTTCACCTCCAGCCTGCTAGAGTAGAAGGAAGGATGGCTTGCTGTTACAGTACTGCTACAGAAAATGAAGAATTATTCAAAACCTGTATTAAGTAATGATATAGTAATTATGATTTTATGCCCAGATTTGAAAGTTTATTATAATTTTCATTCAAATAAACTGTAAATACTTGAAGTATTATTCTAATCTACTTTTTGGGGAAAAAGTGAACTGTTCCTATATATATTTGAGTAAGTGTTTTCAGAGATTTGAGATATTTTTGCGGTTTAAAACAATGCAAATCCTAGGTTGCACAAGAATTTCAGCTTCTACGAATTACTGCAGATGACTTGACAAGTTTATGGTTTTAAAAAAAGTCTGTTTCAAGTCTGAAATAAACTGTATGCAAAATAGATTTTGCTACAGGAAACACTTTGTCACATTGCAGTTTAAAAAGCTTATTTATAAAAAATATTATAATTTTCATAAAGAAGATAATTTTTAGAAAAAGGTGTCTCCAATGGAAGGACTAATACTCAACTGCCTTCAGTTTTAACAATTGCTCATTTAAAAGAAGCTGACAGTTATCATCTTTTTATGTGATTTTAATTAATTTAAGTTATTTGCCTATTTAATTCTCTAATTTGGTTATCTCCTCTCTTGTCAATATAACTGTTCTAGTTATGGAAGTTGCCCTATTATCTTTTAATGACAGAATTTAGCATTTCATGGGATCAGATCAGTGGGGCCAGACCAGATATCCAGATCATTGCCATTAATTTTAGGGTGTTTAATTCATTTTTATCAAACAGTTCATGAAAGTTAATTATCCTCATATTTGATATTGAACTTGAAGTCAAGGAGAGCCATATATGAAAAAAAAAAAACCCTCAAATCTTTCTTCACAGGCACAATGTAGGGAAACATTTTGAGTAGAGGCTGATGCTGCTCTTTGTTCAGCAGAGCTCTAAGCACTTGCCTCATGTGCTGGTGACCTTCAGTGAGACTCCAGCTGTGTTTCCTGCTCCACATAAATTCTACATTATCTCATGATCAGAGAGTATTGCTCTTCCTTTCTTCATGCTTGTATCCATAGCTGTTGTCCAATAGGATGAAAGGTAAGTTGATAAAATAGGGTGATAGAAAAAATCATTTTATGTAGTCTCATACTAGGAAAAGCTAAAGGGAGGGATGATCTGACAGCCATTACTTAGTATTTTGAATTATAGTTTGAGCTACAAGAGATTAAATAGAAAACATTTCTATATTTTCTGAAGAATATCACTGTAAAACTGCATTACTTTAGAACTGGGTGACAGATATTGGCCCTTCCGTGTTTTTATCTTCTTTAGCTCATTGCCTTCACTTCTATGCAGAATCCTAAAAATCTTGAATTGTTTGGCTTTGCTCCTGGAAATCTTAATTTGATAAAGAAATAACAAACTTTTATCTGCTATTGAAACATTATTTTTTGTGCTTTATTGGATTTGGGAAATAACATTCCTAACTGAACTCTGTTGTACCCTGCATTCCAAAATACTTAAGAGAACCACTAGTAAAGCAATTTAAATTGAGCCAGATCCATTAGGAATAGTTTTTAGAGAAGCTGAAATCTCAATTCAGATACCTGCCTGATCTGGTAAAGGCAAAGACACTATTGGGAATGCATTCTTTTATTTTGTTTTTCTTCACACCTCAAAACGTATATTGCCCAGAGCTTAACCTTATTGCAGGTAATCTGAAACTATTGTCTGCTTTGGTTCTGGAAACAAAGTTTCCAGCAGCAACAGATTAGACTAATCTGTACAGATTGATTGCTTAAGAACCTTACTCTATTATCTGGCAAATACCTAAATACACCTAAAGTCTGCTCTAATGGAACTTGTCTCAAGTGACGGAAGTCTGACAAAGCAATTTAAGAGAAGCAGTAGAATAGTAGCAGAATAATAATAGCACCAGCCCCTGGTATCCTGCTCTCCATTAGCAAATGTTACCAGCAGGATCTTTAGTGTGAGGTACTAGGAGTGTCCCACACAGTGCTAAGGGGAAAAGAATTTAAAAGCAGAGTTGCATTATTTGCTTCATTTGGCTTAGCTTGTTCTTCCCAGAGTAAAGGAATCAGCAAGTCAAAAAAGAGCCTCTCACTTCACATTTATACCTACTTTGGCCAGCATGGGTTTAAATTGTGCCCATCAGTTTCTGAAATACAGCTGGATTTTTTTCTACCATGAAAATTGTTAGTCTGGATTTCACAGGGTCTTTGTCTTGTCGTGGCAATACGCAGGGCTCCCTTGGCAATGCATGTGACAGTTGTGTTTCCTGTGCAGGAGCTGCAGCGGGGGAGGGTCCTGAATGCAGCAGAGGCCACCCTGCATGCTGCAATCCAGCCCTGCTCCAGTTTTGCATGCTTTGCCTTGCAGTGTTTCTCCTTGTCTCTCTGCCCTTCAGAACATGGAAAATCTCAGTCTTTTTTGTTCTAGTTCTGGCTTAAGCTCATGAAACCACAAATTTTGCTTCCAGCCACGTTGCCTTGCTTTGGCTCCAGTGATCATTTGACCCTTGTGATAAGCTGATACATTAACTAAGATGGTGAAGAAAACTGTTCTAGCAAAGAACTCTCTGACTCAAGCTGTCATGTCAACAGCCATGAGCAGGTACAATCAGTACTCTGTCAGGTACTGATACTCTGATACTGGGTCTCTGTCTCTGACTGTAGTGGGGCCTAAATATTCTAGTAGTGTTTTTCTGAGGTAGGTCCACTACCTGTGATCCTAACTGGGATGCTGGGCTGCATAATTTGTTTTAAATTGATGTTCTCTTCATTACTGTCTCCATATTAAATTTTCTCTAACTACAAATTTCAGCAATGCCCAGCATTGTCTAAAAAAGCTGAGCATGTCTGTGGTCCAAAAGCAGATTCATAGTAATTTATACCAAAATGCCAATGTTCCCAAAGTTCTGTTGTGATGTTACTTGAAGCATACATAAATGCATAGTTTAAACTTAAATGTTAGCATCAAAACCTAGATTGAAACAGCATTCATTAAATTGTCATTTAACACTTTGAATTTGCAATTATTTAGTTTGTTGTCAAGTCTGTGCTTACAAATAAATAGCTAGCACACCAGCAAACTACATGTTATGATTTTTGTGGTGTGTGTGGATGCATCTACACCTAATTTTTCTACTTGTTCAAAGTTTTGTATTGGAAATACTTCTGAAGAGATTAAACCTGTGAGTTCTATAATTGTATGTAAGAAGATTAACATTGTGCTCAAAGTGTTATTGGGAGGAAATGTGACTTTAAAAATAATCCAGCATTTTTTATGTGACTGGACTTTAACAGAAGCCTTGTATAAAAGCAGTGTAAAATAATTTGCAAATGCCTTCAGTTTATCTAAGATGAAAATAAGCTTATCCTAAACGATTGAGATCAGCTCTCAGGTTTAACTAACAATCATAAAATTAAGGCTTCCTAGAAATAGGTCGTAAAACAACTCTTTTATTCCATATATTGATTTAGTTTCTGTATTAATTGTTAGATTGATGATCTTTGTCACTTTATTTTAAAGGACTTACATAATTGGATGGGAAATATAAGGTATTTTATTTTTAAAAATACTTTGGAGCTATAGTGATTGACATGAATTATTATTTCATGAACTGTTATTTGTGTAGTGGATTCATCTTGAGTCGAAATCCCATTCTGTTATTTTATATGAGCTATTTATAATATGGATGTATTTGATAATGAAAGAGTAAAAAGACAAAGTATAATAATCATTATATGAGGAGGAGCTGGAGCTTGGGGGACATAAGGATCCCACTGATTGCTTCAAAAGGGGAGCTCTTGTGGTCACAGTGGGCAAACAGGATCGTTGGTGAGGGAGAGGAATCCAGGGCTGCTGAACAGCCTTCAGTTCTACATTCCTTTGTGGAGGAATAGGGCCTGGACTTGTGTGACATGAGGGGAAAGGGATACACAGAAAATCTGGAAACCAGTCTGTCTATTTTGGGCACCCAAAGTTGATACTGGTGGCCAGCAGCATTTTCAGGAGAATCCCAGGAAGAGTGAAGTGTTGCCTTGCATGGCCCAGTGTTACCAATGAAGTTTTGCTTTCTTAGATTAACTAGCAAATTGGAAAATTAATCATGTACTTGTTGAGAGTAGAAGCAGCAATAAATTGGATTTGTTTTAATACCTGTTTTTTTGCAGGACACTGTTTATTAAGCAAGTAAAGTAAGAATATGATCAGAAATGCTTAGGGATGTGTGGGCTTTGGTGTAGCTGGGTGTGATTGCCAATGACTTTCACACCCCTAGGTATGAGTTATATTTGATCACATGGATGTGCTCTGGGGCTGGTATTAGAGTGACAGAATAAGTACTGCATTGCTTCTGCCTTTAAAAATAAAAGGAAAAAAGAGAACAAAAAGCAGTGAAAGGATAGACTTTGCACGTGTGTTTTGATCCATGCTGTGAATCAGTGGGTGTGAAGTCCAGCAAACACAGTATGTTGAGGAATCACACAGGTGCAGGTAGTGCTCTTGATATTAAATTTCAAGCAGGGTCATGTGGCTTGGGATGTTGTAAGGATGTGTATGTGTGACCAGTAAAATTGATACAACACCTAGACTGAAAGAGAAGTAAACATTCCTTCTTTCTGCATATATGTTTGAGGATTTTTTCTCCTAGCTCCTAAGCCAGGTTTTCCTCAGCCACTAGGATAGCCTGAGAACACCATGAGAACACTCTCTTCCTTAATCCTGTGCAATTTGGAGGTAAAAGGACAGAAGTAGGCAGGTGGTAGAAGATAGTCCCCTTCATTAAAAATTATCTATGACATTAGTCTTGTTATTAGTCACTATGAAATTTTGGGACTTTGCAATTTTTAAATTGCATATGTTTCAGACTTGTTATCTCATTGTGACCTTTAAAAAAATATCCATAACCTTGCATCAACTCAATTATTGTACCTTCTTTTTCTCTGATCCTTTCTTGCTCTCTTAGACCCAAATTTTTATTTTACTAGTCCATGACATTTTGCTGCTTCTAAGGTTTTAAGGGCCTGACCACAATTTCTAGATTCTGGGGCATTGTCTTGTCTATATAACCAAATTATGTTTTATGAAATGAAAATGAAAAAAATATATTTTATTCATTGATTTCATACTTTAGAATTTTATTGTATGGATCATAGTAATACTCCAAAATATCTTGGGATTCAGTTTCCATGAATGATGCCATATTAAGGAAATTAAGAAGATAGCAGATAAAGTATTCTGCACTAAAAATCGCTGTTTATTTGGATTTTCCATATAAATTCAGGCTTTAAAGTCATACATTTTGAAATGTTTTAGTCTGTATTTGAACTGCCTGGAAAAGTGCTGGGCTGCTTCTGTCCTCTAGAGGCTGGATTCAGTAATGACAGCCCCACGTGCTGTGGGGATTTAATTCGCCTCTGCAGCGGGGCCGGGGCACGGATGCCCGCGGGGGATTGACTGATCCTGCCAATTACACAATGTTTGTGACCGAATTTATGTTCTGCACACGTACAAGGCCTGATTTTCCAAAGCTCTGAGTGCTCAGTATTGAACAGAACTTAGTGATGCGTGGGTGCTTAATATTTTTGATGCTCTGAACAGGCAACCTTTTAAAATCTTACCTCTAAATGAATTTAGGCTGTTGTTGGGACTCTGTGTCTGTCAGACTTCCCAGCATTGTCAGTTTATGGTAGGAGAATATTTTCACATTCCGAAAAAGAATTCTGAGGAAGAGTTTCTTCACAGAAAGGGTTGTTAAACATCGGGACAGGTTGCCCAGGGAGATGCTGGAATTGCCCTCCCTGGACATGCTCAAGAAAAACCACTGGATGTGGCAATGGTCTGCTTCAGAGTGTGATGGTTGGTCAGAGGCTGAACTCGGTCTTAGAGGTCTTTTCTAAGCTAAATGATTCTGTGAGAGCTTTCAAGAAATTATCCTGCAGTTCTAGAATAATTCAACTCATTATGGTATAAAACGTAGAATGACTTCTACTTCAATATCTACTAATAAAATTCTTCTGTGATAATAAATACAGTGTTGTCAATGCAAATATTTGCCAGGCAAAAAACTTACT